TCCAAATACACAGAACATTCAGAATAATTTAGTTGCATCTCTCCGAGCTCTTGAGCAGCTTCAAAAATTATATATTCCCAGAATGATTGAGAAGGGACAGAAATCAAACTAACATTTTCAATTTGGAATGTCTAGAGCCAAAATGTGCCATTCAGGCACCCAGTTTTCAGAGATCAGATAATACTTATAGAAAATTAAACCAAGTGCTTTATAATCTTATAAATACAACTAAAAACTGCTCTTGTAAGTTTCCTCAGACAATCATATACAAAAAATACAATGTGAGCTTGAAGGATATGCTTAGGAAAGCTTTATGGTCAAACAGTATGTAATTGAAGGCTGAATTGTTAATTTTCTATCTGAACTTTCTTATACTGCAAGTAAGATGTTTGTGCTGTTACTACAGATTCAGCACAGTGCTACATTAAGATTGAAAAGATTTAAGGAGTAGTTTAAGCAAATTAATAAAATGTTTAAAGAAAACCCTTTTTAAAAATCTGTCATGTTTCAGTTTTACACGATGTTTCAGTGAACTGACAAAAGAAAAAAAAGAAAGATTCATTATTATTAAAAAGCACATTGTGAAAAATCTCTTCTACTGTTAATGACAACTCAAATTTTCAAATGGAAAGCTGGAATCAATATTCTACTTAACTGGAAAATTTGGTGAGGAAATTGGTAGAATGCCAACATTGCCACTTGAAAAAATATTAATAGTAATCTTTCTTACTGAATATGAGGCATCACTGCAGGCAGGTGGATTCTTCACACAAATATTTCATGTCTGTCATACTGATTACAAGACACGGATACTCTTCATCTGTGCTATACAATGCAAGCAGTAAGCTTGCTAGCTTCATCTGTGCTATACAATGCAAGCAGTAAGGCATGAACTTCTATTATCTAGCTTTAGGAGGGGAAAAAAATTAGAACAAGATAGCTGTGAACAAAAGTCAAGATATTCAATTACATTCCCAGGGACAACTCATCTTAGGTCCGAAGTCCACTCTTTCATTAGCTTCCAAGGACTTTTGTTCCCATAATGCCTTTTCCCATTTTCAAAGATGCTATAATATAGAAAGTTAGCACACTTAACAAATAAATGATACATTGCCTACTAATCTCACAGTGAGCTAACTGATAGCTCTGTAGCCCCCTAATCCCTTTGCAAATTGTAAGAACAAGAATATACCACCATTTCACCTAACAGGCATTCCTACCACATATATGCCTGAAAGTCTTTAATACTCTTACTTCAAAAAGCCACCACTGCCCTCAGTACCTTACTGTATACACCCAAACAGCCTTCACAAAATTATCTGTACCATTTTAACCTTTTATATGATAAAAATAGTTTTCTAGACAGTCAGACATTGATATGCACCTTTTCTAGGTTTTCTGAACACTAATTAGTTTCAGATGCCAGGGCAACAATCTCCAAAACACACTGAAGCACGTGTACAGAATGTATTATAACTCTATTTATAGTCAATGATGTGAAAACTTTACAAAGCTATTGAATAATTATGATTATTAATATCCCAATTAGCCTGAGCAGGTACAAAGACATCCTTAGTGTTACACCTAATGAATTTTTAAAAATAGTTTATTTCTGAATTTTCTCTCTGAGTGGTCTTAAAACCAACAAGTTAGACAACTATAATGAAACAGACATGGTTTGGGATTTGTTTTGGTTTAAGCTTGCCTGCTTGGTATGTTTAAGCCAGTGTTCTGAGTCTGAGACAAAGGACTACATCCAATAACAGGAGAAAACTTTTTAGAGTTTCAAAACTGACAATGACCAAAATTATAAAATTATACCCAAAGCTAATTCTAACACTTTTTTTCAAAAGTAGCATGGTTTAAAACTATTAATGAAATCTGCAGTCTTTGAGAACTGGTCAAGATTGTTCTATTTTTCTGTATCCCTAAAAGATGCAGAGACAGAGATCAGGGTTCCTCCATAGTAAGCACAGGACAACTCAAAGCAAGATCATCTGGAGTGTAGAAATTTCCTGCATAGATAAAGCAACCATGGGGAAAGGAAGCTGTCTCGTTTGTTGAGCTAGGAATGGAAGCAATCTGAAATTACTTCCTCAGGACGTAAAGTTCTCACTTTGCAAGTAAAAACACATTGGCTACGTTCCAGCGCTTGCACCATCTTTACTGGAGAAACACTTAATCCAGAACTGAGAAATCATCTATCAGTCTTGGGCTTCCACTGAAGTACTCCTTTCCTCTTCCTCACCTTCTTTACTTCACAATAAAAAAAAGCAAACAAACATCTGTTTTCAAGTTTGCCTTGGACACAACTAGAGTATGTCTTTTCCTAGAGGTAATGTGCTTTAACCATATACGACAAGGTCCATACCTAGAGATTATAATTATTGTCAATACATCTGTTGCAACCACACTAAAATAGTATGGGAGTACTTACAATGAAAAAGAAAAAAAACATAAAATCATGTAGTGCTTAAATAAATCTCTCTTAAACACTTCTGAAAGGAGTCTAAAGAGTAGAACAGATGAAAAATCAAATTACCTATCCCTTTTACATCACTTGGCATAATTTTGGTTTGTCTTACGAATACAAGTATGGCCATGTAATTCAAACAGCCAAAGCAACTCCTGGGACAAATGCTCTAGGAGTTTTCTTGAGCACAGAGTCTAGTCATGGAGTTACCAACCTGTAACTTCCTCTTCACACTGTAAAGAAAGTAATTTTTATTAGAAGTGAATCAGGAAAAATGGACTGCAAATAGATGCCAAAACATTTAGCATCACCTGGAAACACCTGCAGGAGTTCCAGACAGCAGGCCTGCCATAGGAACTGCATTCAGAGACAATTCTGAATTTAGAGCAAATTTAAAAATTGCACGTTTTATTGCAATTCAGAGATGCTCTTTTACTTAGGGGGAAATTCTCTGTGACAATACTGACAATCATTTCAACTCCTTAAGCACCAAGAGAAACAAGGCATCTTTTTAAAGAGTCTTGTCTTAATAATATAGAAGGAACAGAAGCTGGTCCAGCATTAGTCACCAAGGTTTAATTTTACAAAATTGAAATTTAGAGGTAAAATATTCTGGAATAAATTGAAAATAACGATAAATCTTGGACAAAAATTTTGGATGTGTTCTAAGAGTTATTTTAAGCTTGTGGTAGCTTCCAGTGGTAAGAAGAATCTTTCCACAGGAGGGACTTCCATTTAACCTTGTGGAGACTAAAAATGTCCCAATGGATAGTAAAAGGTAGAAAATCACACAGCTCTTATTAAGATAGTGACCCTTCCTCTTCAGTGATCCAGTTTCCTTATTAACAGACTGCCACCTAACAATTTCTACTGAGAAACCAAAGTTCTTAAGAAAACCGTAAAGGTTAATCAATCCCTCCAGAAGACTACCATCAAGTTGAGCATGTAAGACTAAACTGCAGAGCTTAATGAAATGTCAGATTCAAGTGGATGGTCAATAATAGCTGCTAGAGTAGTAAATGTACAGTGAACATTACTTCCATCAACAACAAATCACAAGCCTACTCCTGTGACTTTAACTACATTAACACATGACATGGAAGAACAGAAGAGAATCTATACAACAGTTGGAGCTAATGACCTGAAGTACCTGCATCATGTAAGAATTATTCTAGACAAGCAAGAGGCAAAGACAAGTATAGAAGATAGGGCAGCTGGAAGATATTCAACTAGAAAACGCAAAGGATTTAAGATAGTAACATTGAGCTTGGTCTTTCTTCCAGCTCTGGAAGATACTGTTCATTGTGCTTCTAAAACTGAACCAACACAGGCTTTTGGACACTAAGGTCTTTCTAAACTGAAAGACAAGCCTGTTGAGGTAAGGCAGAAGACAGAAAATTCCCTCCATTCCAATTCTTTATTCAGGAGACATACACAAGCATCACATGAACTAGGGAAATGTGCAGGCAGCATCTGGCACAGAGAGGGCAAGAGGAACATGGTCACAGTATCTGACAGACAGGAGCTTATGTACTGATGGGAGAATAATGATGTCTAGTTTAATTTCTTTCAGTAAATCTTCCTTTCCTGGTCTCCAGACTGAGAAATGAGGCTTTATCTAGAAACAGCAGCTTTAGTATACTTAAACATAATAGTTGTGGCACGTATCAAAGGCAATGCACTGGACACTTCAGGCATTTGCTCCCAGTTTTTTCAAGTTTCAGTTATTTGAAAATGCAGTTAAACAAACAATCTCTTATTGAAAGAATTTCACTTACACTTCTGTGAACCTGAAGAAAGGAATAATGTACATAAGCTATGACAGAACTATGCTGTCAAGCTACATTTCTTGCTTAAGGCAACTTCAGACATACAGCTCCATGTTACAGAAACAAAAAAGCAGAGTCAAAGGGTACAAAGGACATGGTAACAATGGCTGATTGAAGAACTCTTGTTCACTGAATCCTACAATATAATAACTGCAGAGCACTAGACAAAATTAGAAAGAAGCCAGTTTAGCACACAGAAAATAAAAAGAGCACACAGTGAAATTTTAAAGATTGCTGTCACATGAAGTTGTGGAAACAAGGTGTCAAAAGGGTTAAAAAAGGTGAATAGATAAATTCACAAAAACAAGTCCATAAACAGAAGAAAAAGGGATAGGTAGGAATCGTACCTCCTACTCCTAATCCAATGACTGCAGAAGCTAAGGAAACACAGGTGAAATGAACTAAAAGCAGTAACCAGGCTTATGTCACCTCTAAAAGCAACAATGCTGTTAGAGGTGGAATACTGGGTTAGATTAATTGTTCTGCAGGGCTGAAGGCAGTATTGCTCAAGTTTAATTTACATTGTTAGGTTTAAAAACAATGCTTATGCCTGCCATTGAACTGTGTAAAAAGTTCAGGGCTGACTGTCATCAATCTGATCTCAGCTTTACCAGATGGAGACATGGCATTAACAAGTCTGCAATCTGACTGCAATCCCTCTCCCTGCTCCCTGAAGTCCCACAGAAAACTAGCGTTGCCTAAGAGCAAGCAGCTTGATCCCTTACCTACAGCAAGGAATCCTCTAACCAAAGACAGAAATTGGGTAGAAGGAACTGTTAACACATAAATTTTATTTCTGTATTTACAATGCTTAAAATATAACAGTAACTTGCTATTTTTAATAAATGAAAAAATAGAAAATTTTCCTTTTCAACAAAAGTGCAGAAACATAAATTAGAACATGATAACTTTAAAATGTACAAAGTTAATTCTCTGTGGTTTTACTATGAAAACAGATTTGTAAAACAAGCACCATAATTCATCTTACAGAAGACATTCCATCAAAGCAGCATCACAGGGCAAAACAAGTAGGACATTAGTATGGAAATGTAGTGGTAATTTTTCCATTATTTTAAATTACAAACTGTGGTAAGTTATTATTATCAATTATAAAACTGTTCTGACTATTTTTTTGCAATAGCTTTACCACATAACCGAATAGTAACTGGATTATGTCTGCTTGACAGTGCAATGAAGAAGCCTTCAAATTTTCCTTCTGCCTTTGGCTTGAATTGGACTGGTACATTAATGTAATGATGGGATCTGTAAAAAGACAATTAGATGCATATTCATTGTTAATAAAAAAGTAAATCCTACCAGATAGATAAATTCTTCACCAAAATAATATTTTGGATGTGCACTGGATCGTTAAGTTTATTCTTTTAGATTTTATTATCTAATATTCTTCTGAGGGATTATGATTGCAAAGTTTTTTCATTCCTGCTTTTTGCTGATTGTACAAAGTACCACAACACTTCATTGCTTCTAGTTTACTTTGGTCTGCCTCTTTGCAATAATATTGACAGTGTATAAATTATACTTAGAGCAAAGTTACTACATTTCTTCCCTTCAGAAGTTCAATATACCCATCCTCAAAAAGTGTTTTAAAGATTTTACATTATACCTTTTTCATAACAACACCAAATATTACAGGTGGCTGTCTTAATTGTCAAAAACCTAAAGTGCATGTTTTAAAATATATAAACCATACAAGTAACAAGATGGAAATGCTGAGAGGCAGCCTATTAGATTCCATGACATCCAACTGAAATATCCACCAGCACTAACACACAGATAATTGCCACAGGCACAAACTGAAATTGAAATATGAAAATTGAAATAAGAAAATATGAACAGCATCACTTAATACAAAGAAAGAAAAGGTGGTGTTTTTTCTTTTATTGTTGCACCAGCTTTCTCCCCTTAACAGCATTTAGTATTATCCAGCATCCTCTGGCATCTGCTTGTTTTCACTACTTTCTTTTATTTTGTTCCTTCCTTTTCATATTCCTTTCCTCTATACTAATCCAACCTATCTTATCAGTCAATTCTTGCCCTTCTCCTACCTTTGGAACTCATAATACTGGCCCTACATATAAGCCTGATACCAGCCTCATCTGTTTATTATTGTCCTTATTCCTAAAGTAGTTACTTTTTATAGTTCTTTTTTTAAACAGATCCTGGTAAAACAAGTAACTTAAGGGTACACACTTTTAGAATAAAGACTGGCATGTTACTGTATTTTAATTGGATTACTACAACAAAGTACTGATTATGTAGTACTGAACTACAATCAACACTACAGCAAAGGAGCACAGCCAGATCAGTGTTTCATGTCATATTTGATTGTTGAGCATTGTATAATAAACGTGGCACACTCTCTCTTTATACATCTCTAATATATGGGATGAAGGTATTCATTCAGCTTTATTTTTAAATATCCATTTTATAATGCATAACATCAGTGTGACTATTCAATCTGTAACAGTTACATTATACTAGAAAACATTTTAGTAAGAATAGAGCTTGAAGCTGCTAACAACCAGACCACCTGAGAATTTACAAAAATCAAAGTAAATTCACCAGGAAGTCAGGAGGGATGCACAAGTCTATATCATCATCTCAAAAATAATGTATTTATGCTTCCTTACATACCTTAATGCTCACTCAAAAAAGAACGCAGAATAATAGAATCATTTTGGTTAGAAAAGATGGTTAAGATTATCAAGTACAACTGTTGGTCTAGCACTGCTAAAAGCACCAAACTCAAACTTTATATTATCAAGAACTTAACAGTAATTTACATATTGCTCTTTTAAAAAGGTGATCACTTCTGGCTGTCAAATACTAACTTTTAGAATATGTACTCTATTACATCAGAAACTGCTCTGCCTCAGTATCACTTAGCATATTGCAGCTATAATGCAGTTCCATTTCACCTCTAAGTTCAGGTGTCTATCTGGTTTCTGCTTTAAACATTATTGCACTTCTCTAAAAGCATAATTAATCAGGCATTACTTAAGAGTTTGTTTTTGTAGCAGTCAGTTGTTTCCCTGCAATAGGCATAAGGTTCAACACACTTGAATTCTCATGCTTCCTAATCTAAAGGTAAGGATATCTTTCAACTAACAAAATAGGAAAGTTCATACTCCAGCTACAAGCTCTTCAGGCTACTACATGCCATAGATGTTCTTAGAAATGAAGCAACTTGGAGGGGTTTTCTCAAATATAGTAGCCAAAAATCAGTAAAGAACAGTGTTACAGTAATAAGAATTCCCCTGCTGTTTTTCTTTTACAGAAAAAACTCACTTCAAACTTTTCCTTAAGCCAGCAACTCAATTAGTCTGTGAATACTACGGCCATATGAGTATTTGGCCTTCATAGGTTTTTGCATCAGTTTCAAGTGGTATTTCTGAGAAGTCAGGTATGTCTGAAGCCTACTTCAAAGTCAAACCAATAATGTAATCCTCTGAACACAATAGCAGCACTAGGTAAATTTAAAAGGAGCAGTGGGGGTAAATGGCACCTAAGCCATAGTAACCAGATCCATGGTCAAAGAATACTGACTCCTGACATGCAGAATGCTGCCAAATAGTCAAGCAAAAAACAGTTTTCCCTTTTAGTAATATCTGAAATATATCCTACCCTGTAATCAACTTATTTCAGATGGCTTCTGAAGGCAATACAATAGAAACACCATAGTTTACAACCTTTTTTCAGATAGGCATAACGTGGCAATTCTTCCAGAAACATTGCCAAAGTTTTTTGAAAAGTCAAGTGTTTTTTGATGTTTCATCTGTTTGTTTCTATCACTTAAGTGTCATCTTAAATGTACACTTTTTGCAGTACAAAAAAATAAAAAATAATCTACTCTGTTAACAAGTAGAACTCTCGTATTGAATGCCAGCTCCTAAAGGAATGAGTTCCCACCCATTTTTGCAAAACTTAATACTAGCTAAATAACATCTCTCTGGAAAAAAATATATACTTTTGAATAGCTAATGAAAATTAAGATTCTTTTTTGTTGTTGTTGCTACAGTTTTGGTTGCAAGATACTGTATTTAACAGCCATTACTATTTTCAGCGGAGCAAACTGTGGTAAAGGAGCCAACAGTACTATGTACTGGTACTTGTGATGACATAAGAAATTAATTGCACAAGAACTGGGAAGCCACTATATCAACTTCTGAAAGTCAGACTCTTGATATTAAATACAAATACAAACCTGTAATTCCATTATCTATACTTAAAACTTGATTACACAGGATTTCTTTTAAATTAGGACTTCAAAATGAAGAGCATGTAACAGACTTGTTGTGTTTACTAATGGACATTTTTTGGTAAAAAAAAAATACAGATAGGTGGTACTTTAAGAGTACATAAGAGCACAAAAAAAAATACTAATATTCCAAGTTCCTGCAAGTTTTCTTATCCAATTACTTTTGAACATTGTAAGAGTCTGGTTAACCTAGTTCAGAAGGAAACATTAACACTGGCTTTCTTGAAATCCTCCTTGATGCTGTTGTCAAATAAAAGACACTTAAAGAAGTTCCTTAACACTTCTTTAAAAATATCTAAGACAAGTAATTCTTCTGGGCTTTATGCTCTTAAACAGGAGAGCCTCTAGAGCTATGTTGACTTCAGATAGATGAATTTTTAAAAGACTAAGAAATGTTTACAACTGAGAAAAAACAGCAAAAGTTACCAGAAAAGAAGGTTGTAGAATACTATTAGAAGGTGCAACATATTCAGCTGATAACCTTTAGAAAAAGTAGACTGAATTTTAAACTTAAGTCTACTTTGGATAAAAGCAATAGGAGTTTACCATCTCCCACAGAAAATACACTGATTGGCTTTCACAGCATTCCTCAGGAATATTTTTGAAATATTTAAGTGTCTTCCAGTAAACTAACTCATCTTTTTTTCTGGACACAATCAAGTCATCTTGTCCTTTGGCTGCAGCTGTACAACCTCAGACTAATCTAGCTAGTCATTTTTATTTGGATAGATTTTATCTTGGTCACTACCTTCATAAAAAATAAAAATAAAAAATCCCTATGCCATCTGATGTGATTCATTTAATAAAAATATGGGAGTTAAATAGAAACACCGGAATATAGGTCTAAGTGGATTTATAACACTTTGCACTGAAAAGCGTCCTTAACAATACCTTGAATAGTTGTGGCTAACACCACCACTGCCCTGTCTTTTTAATAAATGCTACGTATCACTAGCAGAGAAAAAATGAGGCTTGCTGCCAGAGTATCGAGTTATATTTATGATTTTGCTCACAATTTCTGTTCTGTATACCCTTAGTTTCCTTTTCTTTACAAAGAGGACCTGTTTAAACACTGAGAATGTATGCTGTATGACTTCTAATGAAAAGCTTTCATTGTCTTCCTGACAATCCCACTGTTACAGATGAGCATGCAAGATGCCATAGTTCTTGGAGATGACTAGTAAGACTGTCAAATACTTGCTGTCATGAACTCCAAAGATGACTGGGTTTATTTTAAGGGACTATTATCACCAACTTGAAAATTCCTTTTATGCAGGTAATATGCTGAAATATTTGGTATGACAAGGCAATTTCACTGGCTTCTCAAACCTTGTATTTACAGAGAATCTTTGATGCAGCTCTGCAGGTTTGTCAAATTAGAAGCAAGATGAAGGCAATTTCCTTGGTCTGTTGTGCAGAAAGTATAAATGGAAGCAATGACTTGATTGTGCACAGCATGCCAAATGGTTAGATGAAGCATTAGGCTTAGCATTAAAGGCAGCAGCACTGTTAGTAACAATTTGCAGGGAAGAAATTGGCAGATGGAGAAATAACTGTGTGGGCTCATTCTGCTTCTAACCAAGATTTGAGAGTACAGCTTAGGAAGGAAAAAAACAACAACAAAACAAACAAGAAACCACAACCAAAAAAACCAACAAAACCACACAACACAAAACCAAAAACCTCACCAAAAAACTTTAATGCCAAAACGTAGGATATTTATATCTACATTTTAGCACTGTACATATAGTCTTTATCTTATTGAATTTGTTGGGGTTTTTTTGTTAGGAGAGAATGTTAGCATATGCACTACTCACCTTAAAGAGTATTGTGAGTGCTTGATGTAGAAAGGCTCTCTGGGTCTTAGGAATTTCAGCTGCAGTTCAATACAAAAATCATTAAAGCATGCACTAAGCCTATGATATTCAATTTATGACACACTTAAGATAAATCAGGTCACTTACAGATACAGTTTTACACATACCCAGGGTTTCAAAATAAAACATGCTTAGATTTCTGCATAGCAAGAAAAATTCACATTTCAATATTTTAATGAAGTTAAAAATTAAAATAAATAAATCAGAGTAATAACAAAACTACACAAACTATAATCTATTTTTTTTTGTTACAAATATATTACAAGTACACTGATTCTGTCAGGGAGGAGACAAAATTACAGGAGAGCAAAATTCTTCAAATATAATTTTTGAAATATGATTTTTGAAACTAACAAACTGACACTTGTACTATTGCAATCTTCTATGAAGAGTGAAAAAAACAGCTCAGGTGAACTGTTGGAGGACTACTGAAAATGTCTGTGAAGTAAATTCTGTCAAACTTACCAGGTGTGTTGCAAAGGAATTATTCCGCAAGTTGACCTTTAATGTGCATGATTCCCCAACTCTAGTTGGAGGAAAAGTGTACAAGTCTTCTGGTGCATATATCCCACGAATTACCTCATTTTGTCTGGTTTGAAAAAGAGATTTAAGATATTAAGATTTCTTACTTATATGGGCTGGATTGCATCCTTCAATATAATAGGTGTATTTTCTGAAAACGCATCAGGAAAAATGGAAAGATCCTGAAGGTACCAACTCTCTTACCTTAAATTTTATAGGCAATACATTTTAGCCAAAAGGAATAATGAAAACATCACTGCAGGATAAATCTATGTACATTTACTGATACATACTTTCACATTCTGAACTTTTCTCCCATACTCTTTACTAAAGAACTAAACTCTTCTCAAAGATGCCATGTTTATTCAAAACTCCTCTGGCACATTCCCATCATCCCATAGTCAACAAACTGGAAATCAACTTAGGACTGAAGAACAGTAAGGTACATGCAGTACACTGGTCTTATCAGAAATGACTTCACTGTTCTATGAAGTCTCCAGAAGGGAGTATTCAAAAAGTATACACAAGATTCTACTGCTGATACCAGTTCATTTACATCAGCAAATCATGGTTAGACAACTTAGAAACCTAAATGAAAAGAAAAAGCATGTGAGATGGAACAATACGAAGTTATTAAGAGTTTTGACAAGTCTGTTTTTTGCAGCTATTCACTCTTCAACACAGAATCATAAGACAATTCAGGTCATAAGGTAATCAGGTGGTCTCTAGTTCAACCTCTTGCTCTAATCAGAGTCTGCTGTGAGGTCAGACCAGGCTGCTCAGGGCTTTACTCAGTCAGATCCCAAAAATTGCACAGCCTCTCTATGCAGCCTGTTCCACCACATAGGTGTCCTAACGGTAAAAAGATTTTAGTTGTAAGGTTGGGGAATTTTCTTCCCCTTTTACCCAGCTGCAGCTCCTTTGTTTCAAGTTTTGTCCATACATACCTTGTTTTAATTGTATATGCTCCAGATTTTGTGAGGGCACTTGGAGAAGCTTTCACACCTAAACTTTCTTCTTCTGCTTTACTACCCTATTGACAAAAACAGAGAAGTTTTTAACTTTGCATTCAAAAGTATTTAAATATTCAAGTATGTGATTTCCCTTACCCAATCCAAGACTTTTAAAGTATAATAGTTGAGGATCAGTAGAGTCTAGAACATTGAGACAGAAGCAATGATTTAGGAGGAATTCTTGAAGGGGCTTCTGTGTCTTATGAATACACTATTTGTTACAAGCCAACACACAACAAACTAACAGTGCAGGTAGAATCCTGAGAAGGCTGCTAGCAACAAAGGTTTAGCAAAAGCCAAAACTAAAAACAATTCCTCTGCAGATATTATGCCCATATGCCTCAAGAACAGCAAAGTCAGCTGAACAACTGCTCAGAAAAAACGAAGGCGTAAGTTGTCATTATAGTTTGAATTCTCACAACAGCAAAAATCTTTGTAATAATTTTGTAAAATGAACAATATATCCTTCTCAAAGAAAGGTCTCGTCAGCAACACAGAATCTGATAATGCATTATATGGCAATTTTTACATTCAGAAATTAGGCCAAAATATTTATCATCAGGACTTCCATTCAGTGTACTCTAACACCAGGAGACTGGATCACTCTAAGGTTAATACTTCACCAAAAAGCCAATTTCAAATTCTGCACTGTTTAACAAATCTAGCCAGATACTGCGGGGAACATTTGGGTTGTAACACATTGAATAAAGTCAAAGAACCAAAAGAACCTCCTGCACTTAAGTTGTGCAACATTATCTCAATTTTTTAAACACTACTGATGTTTTAGACAAGCAGTTGATTCCCTTATGCAGAGAAGATTGAAAAAAACAGATTTATTTTCCACAGAGCTGCTATGACAAACTTGTCTTTCAGACATTCATTTTTTCTACTGAAAGAACTGCTAAGCAGTCTGTCAGAAATAGCAACAGCCAAAACCCCTTAATTTTAAATAATATTTTTCAGTTGCAGATAACCCATGAACCACAGTAGAACAGAATACATAAAAACAAGAAAGGATCTGGACGTGTGTCTTGTTTCAAGAGCTTTTAATTTTCCATGTAATGAAAAAATATAGGTGTCATGCCTCCGTGTTATAATTCAAATTCTAATTTATCAATACGGCAAGTTCACTGCAAAAGAATAAGGCACATTATGGAAGATGTTCAGAAATTCCCCCAGTCTTTATAAAAGCATCCTGAAATACTGCATGCTTTACCATAATCCATACTGACTTTTCCTGTTTTAAAAGAAACCAGTCTGTTAACGCTGTCCAAACGGTTACAATTCACTGCTGTTGTTCTAAAACAACCTCAGAAGAGCACAGATTTGCTTCACTTTAAAATTGGAATGATTTTGCTCCCAGAACTTAAAAAGATTTTTTCTTCTCTCACTCCTAGGGTATCCAAAGAAGGTGAAGCTTTGTAATGCTGATAATAATAATCAAATCAGGAGTCTTCGGTAGCAGTACCTTTTGTGTTAAGTATTGAGAAATTCACCTCACTTGGTTGCAAAATGGAACATTAAAAAGTTACAGTCACAGTTAAAGTACCTAATACCACATAAATTAAAAAATGGTATGTACTTAACATTTGTAGCAACAGCAGGGGTTCTTTATGCAGTCCTCAACTTTCTACATGCTAAAGGAGCAATCAGGTGCTGTCTCAGCCTTCCGGTAGGTTCTTGCTAGTTCCCCATTTCACCCAGAAGGGACCAATAATTAGACTGAAATACCAACCCAAGACTCTTGGTGCACAGTGATGAGTCATTCTGAGCTCAATGATCTTGGAAGAACACCTGAGAGCAGCCTAACAAATGTTTCTCAGGAAAAGAAAAAAACTAAGTTTGAATGGCCAGTATTGAGAGGCTGTGGTTGCAAAGCACATGCAGAATCTCTCCTTTCTTTGTCTCTAGGATCAGTTTTGGACACATGATCTTCTGAGCTCCTGATCCAGTGGTAGGGACTACAAATGCATGCAGAGCATAATGAAAGTCACAGTTAATTAGTTTTTCAGGAAAAAAAATGAAAGTGGTATCACTGATTTTCCTAACTTCACCTTGTTCTTTTAATTTTTTCCTGAACTGTTTCAAATTTTTCACTTATTTTGAAGTGGTGCTATAAATAAATACCACTCAATCACTATGAATGACAGTCAATCTTCCCACTTCATTCTACCAAAATTCTCATAAATCAGAACGATAGCCCTCTGCCTCAGCAAACCCAGAAGGATTAGGTAAGAATTAGGTAAAAGCTGAATAAAACCCGCCCCAAACGATACTGGTCTCATTCTTCATGTCAAAATTAGAAGTCATTTAACACACATTTTTTAACAAGTCTACTTTTCAGCACAATTAACTACAGAGAACAATGACCCCACAAAAGAAAATGTAGGGCACCACAGCCAGAAGGATAAGTAAGGTTCCTACTACTGAAAACAGGCTTTGTACTCTACAGAAAGATCCCAAATCTTTATCTGGGTTTCTTAGAAAAATCAACTCAAACTCTCTGGTGAGGACAGCAAAGCATATATAGCAATTAGACAACAATGAACGTACAAAGCTTTTTACATTCAGCTCATTTAAGTAACCATTAGAATTATTTTTCATAATAGTAATAGATTCTGTACCCTACGTAGACTCCTCTTGCAAGATGGTGAGGCAGGGACTAAAAGCAAGATAAGGAGAGAGTGCACAGAAAACTAGTTCTAACTCCCAAACCCCTCCTTCCAAGCCTCACCATAAATTTAGAGCAAAGGAAAGCTCAAATCCAATTGCTCCCATATATACATCTCAAAATCACCCCCACACCCCCACCTACACTGTTACTCTGATAAAATACTCAGGTTCAGAGACACATCCATAACTCCAATATGGATATTTGAAAAGTCAAATATTGCATTATGTTACTTATTATAGCAAAGGTCTTTTGCTGTAATATACTTTACTATTAATTTATAAAAATAAAAATAGTCCACTTAGTGTCTGATACAACCAAATTTGTGTCTACAGAAACAACCCCCTCAGAAAGTGAGTGTGCCTCTACCTTCTCTGAGGAAAATAAAATCTTACATCTTAAAAGGAAAAATATAATGCATTATCATGCAAGTAATATGAAAAAGTTGGGTTTGTAACATAAGAAAACAAGTTGGACAGTTTAGTGTAACAAAAATATCAGCAGGGTTTTTTTTCCAGAGTACATCACTACATGTGAGAAATAATACTATACAGTAAAATTAAGATGTTACCAAGAAGTGTGCTCAGGATAGTATAGCATTTATATACTCACTGCTCCAGAAAAATGAAATCTGAATCTGTGTTTGCAGCTAGGTTTTTCAACTGGGTGACACTCAAGGTCCCAGAACTGGGAGTATTCCCCTTTATCTCTAGGTAAAAAGATTACAGCTACCTACAAAACAAGAGAAAAGTTTTGCAGATTATTGAAATAATCTATACACCTACACAATTTTACCTACATAAAGTTCCAGGTACGCCAGCACAAAATTTACACACTTCAGAACGAACATTCCACACACAGGTGATATTGCAGAAAACAATACAACTCATTCTCCTCTGCCCACAAGAGAAAAAATTCTGATGAAATAGGTTGCACAAGCAATCTTGAACAAAATTTCAAGTTTAAGCAAAGTCAGTAAGTGCTTGCACAATTGGTTCTATTAGTAAATTGGGGGAGAAAGGGACCAGGAGGAGAAATATACCCAGCTGAAACACAGTAGTATCGTCCTTCATCTGCCAGCTAAGCTGTGAACAACTGCAGTCCTCGAGCACCAACTCTGTAAGCACACTGTGCTACAGCTACTTGAAGGGCTGAAATTTAAACTAACATGTATTTGATCACTCTTAAAGGTGATGTATGTAACAAGGGCTAGTTTCTGTATAGTGCTGTACCAGGTTAATTCAAGAGTAAACTTGCATTGTTTTCAGAGTTGAGGTTGAGGGAAAAGAGCGAGAAGGGGAACAGTAGATTAGAAGACATCACTACAGTTACATATAACTAGCCAAATAATATCATACCCACTTCAAAAAAAACAGCAAATCATAATAGCACTTTACCTTATCAGCTCCAGCCAACCAACAGCCTGACATGCCAATAATGTAAGTGTTATTTAAATAGGCTTGAAGTAGGATTGCTAAGGCAAAAACAATTATTTATATTCAAACAATGGTATTCAACGTTTTGAAATTACTATAAAACAGGCCAGGAGTAAGCTTTTTGTGTCTTAGACTCCAAATTGCATAACTATAGAAATAATATAGTTAAGGAATGTCATAGGAATCCATTAAAATGAAGAGGTAAAATTGAAGTAGCATTGAGGGGTAAGGTAAGGAACAAAAGTCCCATAGAAACATATCCAGTATGTACTTTGATGTGCTTTATAATTGTGGTTATAAATCCCTCTAGTGGCCAGAAGATAAAATTGTAAGTCAAATGAAATAACTTTAGGGCCAATTGTTCTTAAATAAGTATGACAAGACTACTTCTAAGGAAGGGATACTGATTCTCACACCAGTTTTGTAGGAGTCCAGGATTATTTGCAGTTTTCTTATGCAATTTTACAAAATATTAAAAAGCAAGTTTATGTTAAAGAATAATTTATTTTTAACAAAATGACACAAAACACAAACACCATAATGTCAAACTATAGATTGTAAGAATTCATGCAATCAACTTGACTAACATTGTAACAGTTGCAGTAAGCAGATACTGATACACCCCAGAGCTCAATTTTGGAAGGCCAACACTTCATCATTACCAAAGTATGACAAGCTTCAAAAACTGTTATTTCAGAGAATTTCTCAAGTAAGATCCCACTTTCCCATATTCTTGAAATATTTATAAACATTGGTTTACCTTCTCTTCCCCATGAGCTTCAAGAATACCAGAAACACGGGAACATCGGAAAACGGAGTAACCAACCCTATAAACACAACCAGTTCCATCCACATCCTGCAAGTAAAGTTACAAGCTATGAGTCAGATTCAGAAATAAAGCCAAAAACCCATTACACAATATGCCCACCCACACCACCCTTAGAAAGGGCTGAAGAAAATAGACCAAATCAATCTGCTTTCAAGTGAACAAATAATATTGACTCCCTAAAAGCAAATTAATAAAGACTAAAACTACTACATTTATGCAGTCACCATGACTACTGACTGGAACTCCGTATATTCAGCCACCTTGGGCTACAGCTTAGAGCAGTAAGTATTCTTCATCATTCTGTGACAACATACTATCATCATTATTGTATAAAATCAAAGTGACCCTCAAAGCATTTCAGACTATCAAAAAACAGTGAAGCATTTACATATACCAATGGTACAGCTACAGTAATTGCACAGCAGTGACAGCAGTGTAATTCCAATATCCTTGACTTAATACATTACCAACAGGGATACTATGTATGGCGTAATTCCAGCACCACAAGTCTCAAAAGAAGGCAAGCCTAGCATTTTGGAGCCAAAAGGGACACACATCTTTCATGCATGCTTGACTCCTTAATGTAACCTGCATGGTGATTCTAGATGAGCAGAAGCAAACTCTATAAGCCAGTAAGTGAAACAGAAACTGTCCCACAGAAAAGATTGATTCACAATCAGGGAGCAGATTAGAGAAAAAAAAAAATTCTCTAATATGGAAGGGGCAAAAAGAAACTCTGAAACTGAGTTCATGCTCAAATGCATATATTCTTTCTTGAGAGGATGGAAGGAGAAAGAGAAGCAGGGAGAAGGAAAAAACCCAAGAGATTTGCATAATACTACTAATGCAAGCATTCACTCACTTTAACATAGGGTGGTGCAAAAGATGACAAATTCCACTTCATGTTTTCAACCCCTTTATTCTCCATTTCCAAGTAACTCTCTAGAAGATAAATATCAGACTAGCATATCAAATGCCTTAGTTCAAGTGTTCAAATATCTTTAGCGGGAAGACGTTCTCCTTGCAGAAAGGAGAGTAACACACTAACATTATCAGAAAACCCCAACTTTGATCGTATCAATAAACATATTTCCCACCACGCCACTTGTGAGGAACCAACAGGAGATTTGTAAAATCACCTCAGTCTAGAGCAGCACTTAAGGTAGTTTACTTGCATATATATTACATGGGACATTTATTAAAAAAGGAAAGTAGTATTATACTTCTGTTTCATAAGTGTTCCAAAAAAACTCAGGTATAATTGATAATTTAAGCCTTGAACATACTGAAATCTGTTAAATCAATATGTAGTGTGAATCATGTTTTTTAAAATCCTCATTATCTAGAAAACTAAACACTACCAAAAAATCTGGTATCTAGATAACAGGATGACAGTTTCATGCAGTAATTTGGAGAACTGTAAGCTTTACTGGAATTAAAAGTATAGACTGAGGATTTGCGACTCCATTATCAACAGTGTCCTCCTGGATCATTAAGCACAAGACAGGGATAGCCAGACTCATAACTGACATTCCTATTGAAGTAAGGAAGAACATTTATTTCTCTGCTACACACAGAAAAAATCTCACATTTTAGGGACACACACACACAGATTAGGAGAATGGGTCTGCTGCAAAAGTGCAATGATCCAGAAGAGCTTCAATAAAACACAGCAGCCTCATAGTGCCCTCTTTGACCAGGCACAGTATGGTTGCACTCACCACAGCTACTTTAAAAATTGGCACATTACCTGTCTGTATGGAAACCTATCTGTGAGAAAAAGTGTGACTATACAGTGTCAGGAGAAGAAAAAAAAGACTTATAAAAATAGTTCCATTCCCAACTAAAGGCAGTCAATCACATTTATCAGACTACAAGAAAAAACACGAAGTCAAGGCATTCAAGCTCCCAAACATGCAAAATGCAGTAAACAAAACCTCTGAACACAAGATACTACAGATGTTGCGCTTACTGAGTAAGCAATATACCAGTATTACCTGAGCTTTGGTCAGGTCTTGTTCTAGGAAAAATAATGGTTCTGTTCTTAATTTCCATTGCTGTTGGAGGGACCACTGGGAGAGGGCTTGCCATACGAACAGTAGGATTTTGAGGCTGTGGGCTATATATGTTACATCCTTTACACGGAAACCCTGTTCCAGACACACTCTCTGCAGCTTTCTCTTGAATCTGCACCTTAATAAACTTTTTCACAATTTGGAGAAAAAGAAAGATTTAAGTAAATAACACAATATATTAACAAGACAAACCATTTAGCTCTATCTCCTGGAGTTGTAAGAGCTCGTGTTGTCCAGCTCTATATTCCAACAGAGAAAGAGTCTCCTACGTTATGTTACCAGATCTTTTCTAACTTCATTTCACAAAATTTAAAGATTGTAGGCCAAGTTTACTTTAGAACAAGAAAACATACTGAAAATTCGCTATCTACATTTTTAAACTCAACAGGAATAATAACTTAAATACATTCAATTCAATTGACATACAACACAACATAGTTTAAGATGTGCATGGTCTCCATTCTCAACTCACTCTCTTCAACATCTTCCCTGTTTGGTGATTTTTAAGGCACTTCTAATCTTGTATCACACCTCATCTTCCTCTATCAATAATTAAAGTAGGCAAATAAGCTATTTTATCCCTTCAGTGTCTTATTTCTCTCACCATGCACTGTTACAAGAAACCCAAAATGCATACTGGTTGAAAAATAAAAAATAGGTATCTCTCTTCGGGGGCCATTACCAAAGAGTTTCTCCTTTTACACTGATGAAAGAAGAAAACTGACTGCTTCCTACATTTTGTTTATATACTTTAATTTAAATCGGGGAAAAGCCTTGGATTAAAATGCAAGATCAAGAACCCATTCTAGACATTCTTTATCACAGACTTGTCAGCCAGAAGCTTAAGTCTACCTTAAGGGAGCTATGGTGACTTATCCAATAACTTCTTTGAACTTCTTTTTATTTTAAAATATTAGACTACTTTTGTATAGGCATAGGTACATATATATATATTTAGCTTTTCTAGAAAATTATGCATAAGGCAGTAGTCAGTATACAGACGCAATTTTGCTGGCAATTCAGTCTAAGTGTTCACATCATAGTATTTATGTATTTATTTATGTAGAGATTAATGAACTAAGAATCTCAGTTGGTAGAAAAGCATCTTAACTATATTTATTATTTTCTTTTTCTCTCTTAAGATGACTTTACAAACTAGAGAATAATGGAAATTGACAGAACTGCTGCCTCCTACCTAAAAGTTTTTAACATTACTAGACTATTCAGCAAAGTAAAATAAACAGTTTCAATCTCAGATCTCAAGTGAGACACAAACCTTTTGTCCATTATCACAATGGATATATATTAGGCCACTCCAAGGAATTAATGAAGGCTTTGTGGCAAGAGATGGATTAGGACTCACCAGAACTTGTACACTGCTCCTAATAAAAGAAAAAATATTAGAATTAGTATTTACAGCAGATCGCTCTAACCTCTATTTAAGTGTAACTTTTACATATTGTTAACATGCACAGCTGGTCAGACCTTGTCAAGCAGACACATAATGACATGCTTCAGCAAAACAAGCTTCAATACTAGTCACCAAGGGAGTTGTAGTGTTCAAAGTATACTGCACAAATTGCATTCCAAGAATGTTTTAAACTAGTTCTAGTTTTAGAGAAGCAGCTTGCTTTCCTTTCTCCCATGCAGAACTGATTTTGGAAAGCAGACAAGTCTTTTGATGTTATCAATACTTTCTATAGCCATTTACAGGAGACACTGAATAGTCTAAACTCACTTGAAGCAGTCATGGCATCATACAGTAATTTGACCAGTGATAACATATATTCTGACTTACAATCTTCCATATTCTACAGACGTTTAAATAGAGGAGGGGAGAAAGTAAGCACTGAAGTATTTAAAAAATGAGAAGAAAAAATCACTGAAGTAAAGGTCATGGTTGTTTGTTACTAAAACACTTAAGCCACATTTGAAGAATTAAGATGTCATGAGCACAGCACTTGGCATTTGAAAGATTTAGTGTAGGAAGAAGATAGTTCCTACAGGGAAGTCAGTTCCATAATCATTGTTAAAATACAACCATCTCTACAAACTTCAACAGCTGTTAATGACCTCAAAATATTAAATCAGGATACTGGTATCTCCTTAAACAATTGTGGGTATTTTTGAATCCCAGCAGTTCTCAGAATTTTTTCACTCATGGTTCTCTCTCTCTCATGTACAAGCTGCATACCTACAATTATGAGTTGCTAAGTACACACGCTTATCACAAACCATTTCACTGTCTCTGCTCCTCCCAGGTTGCCTTTGACATTTACTGCAAACTCCTCATGCAAATCTATATTGCATGGGGTCACAAACCATGTCTCTTTCAGAAGAGTCACATTAAAACTAAAGACACTACCTCTCCATAATTGCCATGGAAAGGAACAGAGCCAAGGGAAGAAAGACTTTTTCAAGGTGGCTCTTGGAGCCTTCAGAGATTCCAACAGTCCCTGCTGCAGAAGTGCAATTCCTTTCACAGCGCTTACCAGTACTCCCAACACCAAGGCACAGCAACATGCCAGAGGCTATTTTAAGTTCACCTCCATGAGAAAATCTCTTAAAATGCTACCAAATTCAGCAGGGAAGTGTGACTTTATTATTCGACATTGTGGCAGTTTAGAGGTTGACTTTAGCTCATTCCATGGAACTTAAGGGGTTAGGCAAGGTGAAATGGGGGGTGGTCTGCTTCCTCCAGCAAGACAGTCAGTCCTTGATCTTGGAATCCTCATTTACCATCATACAGAAATCAGACCTTCTCCCTTCCTAGCATAAAGCAGTTAAAGAATTCTGTCAGCCCCAGCCGTCACAATACATAGTATAAAAGATTCTGGCTGGCTTCTGTCTTGACAAGATAACTGCTGCTGGCACTGCAGGGAGATAGCAATGGAAAGTAGAAAACCAAGCAACCACAGCTTGCTGTGTTTAAGCCAACTGTTCCCACAGGTCTGTTTCCAACTTGCAGGCCTCTGGTTCTTGATCCAGACTACTCACTTGAACCCAACATGTGATGTTTTAGATCAACCTTTCTAGTGAAGGAAACACATTTTAGTATTATGCAGTGCAATAAAATAGCTTGCAGAAGACCCTCAATTCCTTCTTTTCAAGAAATATTTCCACAAATAGTCCTAACTCTAGGGTCTGAGACATTTGAGATGTTCCTTACTTTCACAGCTACTAGAAAGTTGTTTGTTGCTCCTTTTGAAACTTGTCTTCAGCATTGATTGAATCTGCAAGCAGTGGCAAATATCCTAGCCCTTCCAAATAATAATCTTTTTTTTTGCTCTCAATATTAATGAAATTCCCCAGCAGTACATCTAAGAACTTACATCTAGATGAATATGGAATTAAGTGTACAATTGTATCAGATCTTGCACAGTGATGTAGGACTGAAAGGAAAATATCTTCTATGGGCAAATGTCTACAAAGTTAAAACAACTACTCAAGTAAAACCCAGAAAGCAAAGCCTATTTCTTGTGGGACAGAAGACTTGTTTACAGAAGTTGAGATTAGTTTCATAACAGGGTCTTAAAATCCCTTCTGAACTGACCTTAAAAAAAACCTAACAAATTTAGAAGACAGAAGTGGTCGGAACTTTCAAGCATTTTATTGTGAAAGACTCTGCTGACACCTATGCAAAGTCACACACACGTATGCAGTGATATTTTATCACTGTTCCAAAATACTGCTAATTAAGACAAGTGAGTTGACACTGGCTTGTCATTCTTTTTATACCTACTGATACTGAGAAGCCAAAGGTTGAGAGGCAAAACCAGTTTTGTCCGAACTAAAAAAATCCCACAATCAAGTTCTGATGAATATCAGCACATTTGCAAAATAAAACATTAAGGTGCCAGAAGAGAAGCATTCTATAAGAACTTTTTGTGGGGAGGTTTGCTTGTTCGTTGGGGGGGAGGAACAAGTCCTTTCTTGCTTTTAGACATGGGTTCATTGTTAAATACAAAAAATTGTGAAAGGACATTTTTAAAACTTCAGCTTTTTTGACCATCCAGCTACTGAACAATTATGCAATAACTGTATTTCCAGGCACAGAAAATTCCAGCGATAGAACATCCTCTATACAGAACTGTAAAAAATGAAGTCCTAAAACATAAAAGCTAGATTTACACATTAGCTGACAAAAAGATATATGCAGGAATAACTAGAACAGTTCCAGGGTATAGCCTAAGCAAACTAAAATACAACTCCTGAAAACTAAAATTCCTAAATTAACTAAATATAACTAAAAATAAGTAACTCCAAAATCTTTCCCTTCTTTCACATGCAAAGGAAACCTATGAAAATAAACTTACTCTGGTTCAATAACTCCATGTTGTGGAGTAATAGTAAGGCAGTGAGCTGGCCACAAAAGCTCAAATGTCAACATCCTATTAGAATTGTTGACAATTTGTACATGTTCAGTGTCAGCTGTTCCACCTGCAATACAAAAAAAGCTATAAAAAGCTAACATGTACAAAAGTTCACAGCAGTGTCCAAGATTCAGAGATGCACCAATTAAGATAAAGCAGTTTCCACCCCATTTTTACCTTCATTATGCTTTAAAATCTTCACAGGTGTGCAGTGCATATTATATGTATACACAGAGTGCACTACCTCTGATACTTTAACCAAAACTGGTTCATGCCAAGTTTACTGTTTAGATATAAAGCTACTGCAGCAAGATTACTGGCCAAGTCACATTTACAAACAATATAATTACCAACAGCATTCAAGTAGTTATTTTAATATCAGAATGGTAATTTTTTCAACTTCAAAAAATACTTACTAATAGAAGGTTGTGTCAAAGTCAAGTACTCAGGTTTAACAGCCCAAGTCTGTTGAGCATCTGATTTATTCTGAACCAGATGATCAGTTTTTACAGGTAATGGAGGACCTTGAGGTCCTCTAACAGGAAGAACATCCAAAGTTGCACTCATATTTCTGACAGGACACTGACATCTGAAAATAAGATTGCATTAAGGAAAAGGAGTAATTAAAATTACAATAGCCTACTCAATATTTTTCAAAATTTAGTACTTAACTACAATGTTATTTACATTGGCCTTCAATTTCATTCAATTCTCCATTATTACAAAAAAAAAAATTCAACAGGTATACCACAACACAGCTTTCTCATGGAGTGTTTAGAAATGGAAGGTACCATTCAAATGCAAGGTACTAAAATAAACAATTATCTTCAGGTGATAATAAAGTAAAACACTTTCTCCATGCATATTTTATTCAGATTAAAAAGGTACTGCAGACAGAAACAAGGCAATGCAAGTTGTGTTTCAAAGAATGCTGGAGGTCAGCAGGAACCTGTGAAAATCATATAGTCCAATGCTCCTGCTCAAAGCAGGCAGCTACTGCAGATTACTCAGTGCATTGTCCAGCCAGGTTTTGAATTTCACCACATATGAAGACCTTACAATCTCTTTGGGCAACTTGTTCTACTGCCTGACAACCCTCACCAGAAAAAAAAAAAAAAAGGGGATTTTTTTTCTTATGTTTAAACTGTTTTTCTTGCATTTGAGTTTGTGTCCATTGCCTCTTGTCCTGTCACCGAACACCATGAGGAAGACTCTTCCTCTCTGTCCCTTTCCTATCAGGTATTTATACTCATCAATAAGATCCTCCCCTTGCTCAAGCCTCCTCTGCTCAAAACACACACAGTTCTTAGTCTCTCCACTCTCCATCATCTTGACAGACTAACATTTCACACTTGGAAACTACATGGCAGATAAGCTCATATATGCAAGCTGGGAAGCTGTTATTTTAGGATTTAGGGTATTTTCTGAATTTAAAAGCTTTACTCACAACAAGTTTGTTTTTAAATACAAGCAGAAATCAACAATTAAATACAAAACAGGTAACTTTTGCTGCACACAACATTGTGCAAATATATAGCTCTTTTTCATATTACTTCTACTTCTACTTTTAATGCTTCTGAGAATCCTGACTCAGTTTAGAGTGAGATCACCTGTGAGAACTCATCCCTTAGGATAGCAATGGAACCAGGAAGGCAACTAATTCAGATAATTTCCTTGACATGATATTTCCTAATAGTTAATTTAGCACTGAAATATCTTCTAAGAATTACAGTCTGCTCAGAAAATTAATCACCCTCATAATGCTTAGCCAGGAAAAAAAATTCAAATTTAGAACTTATAAGGCTAATGAGTGGAAAAAACAAATTAAAACCACCAAATAAGAGAAGTGCCCTGCTTGCTGCTGCAGGTACTTGTTTCCAGCCTCTATTTTTGCAATCCCACTATGCATGACAAACACCTTGCTAGCCAACAAATCAGTCAAGTATCTCTATGTGTTCATCATCTGGAGTTCAACACGTACAAGCAACTCCAAGACAACAGCTAGACATGTAGATGTTAAGCACAACAGGCTAGGCAGGACCCTTTTGTCACCAATGTAACAGGATCTTGAAAATCAAAACCATGAAGACTCAAGAAACAACCTATGAAAACATATTTCTTTTAAAGTTAATTCGTTATTTTGCTTTTCTGCTACACTAACTTAGTAGGACTTGCATAGGATTTGGATGTCTCCCTCCCTTTTCACACCTCCAAACACTACAGCAACCTGTCTAACCAAAAGCAACAGGTTTATTGACCAGGTCTCTCTCAGTCCTGCAAAGAAATTCTCCCAGTACTGAAGTGATGGGGGTGGTGGCTCCTCCGCATGATCATACTTTTAAGGAGTACAGGATGCACTAGATTGAAAGGCTGGCATATGGACTGGGAAAGGGAAAGGCTACTAGTTCTTCATAACGTATGCTTTCATCCCAGATGGTAAAAACTCTTTACAAAGAACAAAGTGGTTATAGTTCGAGGGCTACAACAAGTGCACTTTGGAACAAAAAACTGCTTATGGAAAAAAAAAAATATTCAGATGAAGAATAGGAAGTTGTAGATTAAGAGAATGGTGTTGAGAGAGTAGTTTAAGTTTTCCAAACGTAACTGTTCCAAACAACTGTTTTCCAAACACTTTAAACAGACTATATAGGAAAAAATAGTTCTAAGAGCCACCTAGATATTCATTAGAGCCATTCACATCATAGATCCAGTTCTTTCACTGTAAAGCAAGTCAACTTCCATCACTGACATTAAAATGTTAAATGAAAGGCAATGCACTTCAGGAAGGCACCATGTGACAGTTGGTCTTATAGTTACATTACCTGTCCGATTCCAAATGACGTCCAGGAGACTGCTGAAATCCATCCTGATCAACAGTGGAACTTCCAAACACAAAAATTATAATCTTTTGCATGTTTGCATAGAACAGATAGATATCGTTTGGTTTCTGCGGGATATCATATACTAAAAATGAGAATAGAAGAACAATTTAATAAGAACAAATCAATAATACTCAGAAATTACACTACAGAGATTTGGGATATAGACCTAGTTAATAATCTGTTTGCTAAGATGCCCTAGATAATTTAAAAAAAAAAATTACTTACAAGTAAATTTTTTACAAATTTTTTTTTTTACTTACAAGTTCAGCTATCAGGCATAAATCAACATTGACATGAGATATAACATGTAAATCTAATTACACACCAATTTTAACTTTTTAAAGATAAGTTACATATTTTCCACTTTTGTACGAATGGTACATACTATGACATCCACTGCTCTCCCTTCATCTACCCACTTGGTCATGCCTTCACAGAAAGATATCAGATTAGTCAAGCAAGACTTCTGCTTAGTAAATCCATGTTGGCTACTCCTGATAACCATATTTTCTTCCATGTGGATAGAAGAAATGAGAGATGGCCTCCAGAATGAGCTACTCCATCAGCTTTCCAAGGATGGAGGTGAGGCTGACAGCTCTGTAGTTGCCTCCGTCATCCTTGCCCTTTTTGAAGACTTGAATGACATTGGCTTTCCTACAGTCCTCAGGCACCTCTCCCATTCTCCATAATTTTTCAAAAATGACAGAGAGTAGCTTGGCAACATCATCAAGCAGCTCTCCCAGAATACCTGGATGCATCCCATTGGTGCCCATGAATTTGCACATTTTCAGTTTATCCAAGCAATCTCTAACTCAGTTCTCACTGACTCTCACTGAGAGTCTTCCTCTCTTACTTGCTCTCTTACTTCCAGTGACTGGGATTCCCGAGGGCTGGTCTTAGGGGTAAAGACTGAGGCCAATAAAGCAATCAGGAATTCTGCCAACTCTGCACCCTCTGTTACCATATTTCCCACCTCATTTAGCAGTGGACCCACTTTTTGCCTACTCTTTCTTCTCTCATTGATGAATTTGAAGAAGCTCTTCTTGTTTCCTTTCACTCCCCTAGACAGACTAAGGTCCAAGAGAGCCAGAAGCATTTCTGTAATCCTCTCAATTAACCAGACCCTTTTTCCACATATTGTACATTTCCCTCTTCCATTTGAGTTTTTCCAGGAGCTCCTTGCTTATCCATGCAGGTTTCCTGCCTCCTCTACTTGATTTTTTTTTTTTTTTCCAAGGGAATACATTTATCTTGAGCTTGAAGGAGGTAGCTCTCTTGGACTCCCCTACCTTCTAGAGCCCTAGCCCATAGGATACTTCTAAAGATTAAAAGGTAAGTCTTATTTTTTTTTACCCTTACAAATAACAGTCATACATAGTCATACATAAGTCATTCACAGGCCTTCACAGAAAGAGATTCAACCCAAGTTAAATTACTTTTCAATTACTCAGTCTATTCAGTCTAACCATTCATAATTTTATTTGTTATACCTGTAAATATTCAAACAGTCAAGACTGTTAAGAGTATGATTTAAAAATAATAAAATGTGGCATAAAAATTTGTAATAATTAAAGTTTTCTCCTTTGCTTTGAACCATTTGAAGTTGAATAAACAGAACGAAGAAGTTAACATTTCTCACATGGGATACATTTGATCCAGCTATTACTTCCTACACTGCTTAGTGGGTACCAGAGACGATTACTAATATTCATATATAGGTTCTACAACTCAGCTACAGGTAAGACAGAACAATATCTGTTGTAGAAGCATTCAAGTAAAAATTTACATGCATCTAGAAACTTGTTAATAAAGTCTTGCAAAAGGATGCTTAGCAGAAGTTTGTTGGGTTTTTTTAATGAAGTATTTATTATTCTGTCATATATATAACAAAATGCAGTACAGAAATATGTTTAGGATAATAATTATTTCTACTCTAAGATTAATTTGTTATCTCCTTCCCTGCCTGAAACTGGAAGACTTAAATGTTCAACAATTTGGTTGTTTTTCTGTTTTGCCATTTATAGTATAAAGCTACAAAGCCACTATAGGCTACTGTGACTATAATCTTTTCCGGTGCAGATATTAAAAGTACCTTGATACTGTCAAGTGTTGGGATAGTGTTAAACTGCTTGTTTAACTACTATTCCAAGTACTGAGTGGAGTCAGAGTGGGCCATGATCAGGCATAGAAAAGGAGAGATGTCTATTATTGATGTAAATGTTCCTCCCAAGCTGACTTTTCCTCATGTTACAAGCTGCAGTGTGAAGTGATGCTTGGACACCTTCTACTCTTGCAAATTCCAAGACTACAGCACACACAACTCCAGACCCAAAAGTGTCAGGCCCAAACCACAGCATGAAAACAAAATGATGGTGTCATCTTCACAATCACAACAAATAGAAACACTTTCATACAAAGGCTTAGTAAAAATCTTGTAAAATCTAGTGAAGTACACCAAATGATACCTAGAATTGCACAAGAGAATCCTGCGAAGAACGCTTCATCAGAATTCCTTTTCTCCTCTTTAACAATGCATCCATATGCAGATAAGATGCTAATAAGCATTACAAACTAAATTCACTTGGACAACTCAAATATAGAAGTCACAAAAAGTTTTGGACTGCTTTAGAACAAAAGGTCATTAGATGTTAAATATCAGCAGCTACTCTCTCTGTTCAGGTAGTAACTGAAGCACACTTTAGCAACCAGAAACCTATTAGATCAGTATGCAAAAGATGTTTGATTAGTGCAGTAAACCAGTGTTACAGAGTAGCTGAGTCTGGTAGCCCGAGAAAAGGTGATGTTGCTACTGGTCTGATCAGCAGCAACACTGAGCACGTTCCCAGTAAGCACCTATACAGTCCACACATGGCCACACACTGAGAGCCAGAGACACACACCATCCCAAACAGAAACACTCATGCAAACACAGACAACATCAATGGACTCATTCTGTTCCCCTCTCTGGCTGATGAGTACAGAAGCTCATTCCTAGGAATATACCTACCTACAGTGTGCACCCCCCCCCAGATCCTGGCCCAGGACACTGGTGCATCAAGTGAACAGACTGGTGAAAAACTGGCTCAACACTATTTCAAATGCTCATGTTCATATGCAATTTCTTAATAGATTTTTCAAATACCTCTGTGGATTAAGGCAATGAGGAATGGAGACTAAAAGAGTCTAGGGATCTAACTTGATATTAAAAGCAATCCTTAGTGCCAAGACATTCTACTCTTGAGGGGTTTTTTGACATCACCTCTTTAAGAGTCTTCCATTTAAAAGGAAAAACTAAAAAAAAAAATCTATGTTGAAAAAATAACTTACTTTTCTCCTAGCATCTTACAGAAAAGGAAAAAAAAAATTCAGATTTCTTAATTCTAGGTACCTCTAGTTGTTCCTGCACATTATTTGAGTAAATAAAACAATTGTGACCAGATCAGAAATACTAAGCTTATTTCACAAATTCAGGAAAGTAAATTCTCAAAGAGACAGGACAACATTAAGATGCAAGAAGCAGGCCTTGTTTTCTACAGAAAGAAAAAAAATAAGTTATCATCAACAAAGCTCTAGCAATAAAGCAATAAGAGATGGATGATGAAGGAGGTCAAGGCTTTAACACTGGCTTAGCAACTTCAGAGCACAATCAAGAAACAAGTATCTTATCTTCACTAGGATTTCACCTCAACCAAGATGAACAATCATCAATGCTACTTCTCCAAGTAAAGACAAGATGCAATCTATAGGAAATAATAGAATTGTAACATTTATTCAAGTGTAGTAGCCCTAGAAAACTAAAATCTTCCCATGTGTGTGTAGAAGTAGGTCAAGATATAGGGTTTGACAGTAAAAATGTTCAAGACATTTAGGAGACTGAACAGTTTGGGAAGACAAGAGGGTAGTTTGTTTGGGTTTTTTTGTGGTTTGGGGTTTTTTGGGGAGGAGTTAAGGACACCTTTACATTATACTGTAGTCTTTTTTAATACTGCTTGTGGTAGCAAGGAATGAAGTACAAAAACAACACAATAGTTTTTTAATTTGGGAAGGAAAATACATGTTTTAATGTCAGCAAAGTTGTTTGCCTCTCAATTTTCAAATGTAAGATATACCTGTGTCTGAAAAACTGAATCTCTCTCATTATTAGTAGTAAGACAAATATTCTCCAAAAACACTGAGCATTTTTAATGCTATAACATTCCTAGACTGTTTAATTTTGCTAAAAGTATAACAAATTGTTCAAAATCGACAGGCATTGAATGAGAGAAAGTTCTATCCAACTGACTTTTACTATCCAACTGATAGTTTTACTTCTACGTTTATAAAAAAATAAGCAGAGAAATAATTAGGATTCAAACCTAAAGACACATTTTTCCACCAGAAAACAAGGCGGGGTTTTTTAACAAGTCATAAGCTTACCTTCTGTCACAAGCTGCTCCCCTTGAAATTCTTCATCAAATGCAATATTTCTCAAGAGGGTCTTTCCTGAAAGTATCTGGTTTCCAGCCATTGGTTTATCCAACAATGCTCTGTTAAAGAAACAATGTTAAGTTACACCAAATACTAGAAACAACAGTCTGAAAATGCTGACAAGATTGGTGAGAATCCAGTGTAATTTTAACTTGATCATTTCTTGATTTCTTGAAAACACCAGGCTCAAATTTGTGACTATTCATTTAAAAATGAAATATTTTCATAATCTTCAAATGGCTAAAGAAACACCTGCTCTGCTGCTGTACAGTTAAAGTAACACTGAAATAATGGCTACCATACGTTTGTCTTTCCAAGATACTTATTCTTTGCTGTCAGTAACACCTACTTAGATTTCCTACAAATATATTGGGCATCTGAGTGTTTTCTCTATCACCACAGGAAGCAAATAATTTCACTTCTGTACTAATGTCCAGAGTCTGAATAAAAAAAAGTTTCCAACACTACCTATACAGGTGCATCAAGCTTCTCAATGGGGTTTTGGTTAAACAATATATCAAAGCTTCTACCTAACTACTTTTCCCTTTGAGTACGATCCAGTGATAGTGGGCATTGGCTCAGACAAAACAGTTAATATAAAAACCCATAAAAAGCTCCAAAGATAGCCAAGAGGGGTCAGTTTCCTATCAAGGTGGTCACAAATGCTGCTACTCCATTAGCTTTTTATTGAAAATCATGCAGTTAGATTCAGCAGTGTTTCATAGTTCATTTGGATAACAAAAAATACAATTACTTTCATAAGCATTCAGGCAACTGCATTGAAAAAGTGAAATACTGCTATTGTGAAATTTTGTGCTGAATGATGATCCTCAGAACCTCAGTGTTCCGCCTATTCTTAACATTTTGCATTATCACTATACACCATACACAGCACAAATGGAAGTGCCACTTGTGTCATTAAAAGCAGAATATGCCATTTTTGTGACTTTCAGTTATGCAAATTCAAATGAAAGTATCATAGTTAAGTTCAATATACATTCTACAAACTTCAGCAGTCTGTTACAAGCTTGTGGATGTTATTTCTCTCACATACACTTCTATTTACTGTCTTCATGAACAGAATTCAGGAAACTAAGATGCAAATCTTAAAAACTTAATACTGCTGAATTTCAGTACTACTCCTCCCATTAACCTTTTCTTTGAAGATTAAAACTATGTACATATTGGAAAGAGATACCAAGGCAAAACACAAATCTCTTCTGATACAAAAACAAGGCAAAAAGTTTTCCTCAAAGTCAACATACTCAAATTCAATAATGTAAAAAGAAAATAAAAACCTTAACTAGACTTATCCTACAATATGTAAACAAAACCACTAAACCAAAATAACCCCCTACCAAATAACCTACCAGATGTAAGACTTACTAGATGCCTCCATACCATGTCTTTTGCTTTGTTCGTGCTATTTTTGGAAGCATGTTAAAATTATATTCATGGTAGCCTACACCTCCAGTTTTAACTTTTTATTAAACGATAAATGTAGTTGTTACAATAGCAAAGTACATCTTACCTACGATATTGCTGCCTAGAAATTTCATCTCCCCAAAAAAGACATACTGTTGATACAAATGCATTTTTTTTATCAACTTTCTCGTTTTCCACTGGATTCCACATTATAGTAATCACCTGATAAAGAGACAATGTACCCAGAAAAAATGCTTCTTGTTAGTACTAACATTTAGAACACGAGTCAACAAATCACTGCAATACAAGTGAACCAGGATTTAACGTGAGATTTTAATAAAGAACTAGTCAGACACATTCTCATTGATCACATTTATTTTAATTAAAATTACTAATTGCTCAGAATCAGGTATTATACTTACTTCATGCATTCCTTCTCTTAGTACAAACTTCTCTGGAGACACCATCATTACCTGAGGATCCATAACTGTTTTTGTTGTTAGGCTTGAAAAGCACAGAGCTTTAACATAGGCAGCCCGAGAACCTGTATTTCTTATGCGGAAGGAAGTTCTCCTTAATCTTGCAGGTAATATTTCATCCAGTGTTACTATATAAGTACCTAAGAGATTACCAGTATTATCTATAGTTACATTGCTTGTTCCTCCATATCCTGACAACGGTATCTGGGGGGAAAAAACCCGACAAAAATTATTTCAAATTAAAGAAAGCTTCTTATTAAAACTTCTGTACAACTATATAAAGAGTTACAGAAAGACAAATGAAAAATGCTTAAAATGTGAACTCAAAAAAGACTTTGAAAAAAACAAACCAAAAAGCTTAAGATGCAAGTTTCACTGAAAATCAATCTATAATTTTACCTACATAATACCTATAACATTAATTTTATACCTACAGAATCATAGAATGGTTGGGTTGGAAGGGACCTTAAAGCTCATTTGGTTCCAATCCCCCTGCATGGGCAGGGACACCTCCCACTAGGATCAGGTTCCTCAGAGCCCCATCCAACCTGGCCTTGAACACCTCCAGGGAGGGGGTATCCACAAACTCACTGGGCAACCTGTTACAGCACCTCACCACCCTCACAGGAGAGAACTTTTTCCTAGTGTCCAACCTGGACAAGTTCAGGTTTTTTGAGAGTTTCAGAGTTAAAATCATGGGCTACTTTTAACGCAGTACATAAAAAAAACTTTCTTCTTCCTCCAAAAGAGGAAAAAGTACATGCAAAATTGAGGCTAATATTCAAACTGTAAAACTTATTGCTCACACAAACTTTAACAAGTATTCAGATACGCATAGTGTGTGTCTTGAAGTTTCAGTTTTTCAACAGAAACATGGAATCAAAGAATTTTCAGAGTTGGAAGGGATGTCTCAAGATCATCCAGTCCAACTCCCCCACTAAGGCAGAATCCTTTAGAGCACATTACTCAGGACTGCATCCAAGTGTGTCTTGAATATCTCCAGAGAAGGAGACTCCAAAACCTCCCTGGGCAGCCTGTTCCAGTGCTCTGTCACCCTCACCATGAAGAAGTTTTTCCTCATATTTAAATGGGACTTCCTGTGTTCCAGCTTGTGCCCATTGACCCTTGTCCTGTCACTAGGAACTACTGAAAAGAGTTTGAAACTGCTATTAAGAACTGGATTTAAAATAATTAGGAAAAATATGTGTTTGAGCTTATTAGAAGTTAGGTTGGGGCTCTTACAGTAAACTTAATTCCTGGCTGTGACTGAATCCCCAGATGTTTGATTTCCAGCTTTGCAAAGCAGCAAGTTACTCGAGTAGGTGTAAACATCAAGTATATGTTTGTATCTTCTTTGGGACGAATTTTGAGTTCCCAATTACTAGTCAAGCGTTCGTCTGATCCAAATATACTTTGCAGCTATAAAAATGAAGACAAAAAAGAGTGACTACTAATGAGGATAGACATATAGCAATAAGACTGACTTCACTGGTAACACAAAATTAACTCATTCAAAACCCCAGTTAACTCAGTTCATCGGCATGTATTTATGGTTGTGAAGCTTAACATGCAACAGCGAAGACCACTTTCAAAATACCTTCTAATCTCACAATAAGCATATTGATGCATCTCAGCTTTGACCAGTTTTTTTTTTTGCTTTCAATCCATAATAGAGTAACGCTGAACTTATCCAGCACTTTGTTATTTTCCTCTTAGCTAAGAATTTAGACACTGATCTGAACATTCAAGGAAAAAAAGGGATATAAATGTATGTGGACTACATAACAAAAAACTCTTGAGTTATGGTAACTCCCACAAACTGATTCCAGTTGTTTTTTTCTCTCTCATGTACACTGAGTCCCTTGAAGTGTGGTCTGAAATCCCTCCGACAAGAACTGCCACTGACTACTCAACCAGCTACTGACTCTGCTGTGCTACAGCAGCTCAGAGCTGTAATCACTGCTCCAATTTGCTGCAGTATTGTTACAGTTCCAGCTTTTCCCAAGGCTGCCAGAGCAGCTAAAGCTCTGCTACCATGTCCACCTTGGCTGTCTGAGTGCCTGCGAGTCTCTGACATTTATAAAGGTAAAACCAGTCACGACAAAGGCATTTCCATTACAAACTTATCCTGATAGCTGTCATAAACACTAAAGAGACATTTTCATGATAGTTATACCTGAAAGCAGTCTTGATCTGGACCTCTTATCAACAGTCTTAAATGCTGGGTTACAGATGGAGAGTCATTTCTTAAAGTTAACTTCTGCTGGCTGAAAAATACAAAGTTTTGATATGTTTTACAGCAAATGTAAATTAACTGGATATGTGTATTCATGGAAACAATGACAATGGGATAGTCAATTTTAAGGCATTCCATGAAAATAAATCTCATATTCTGTCATACCGCTAGAGTAGCTAGAAAGTTACTTCTGTGCTCTTAGACTTACAGACCTTAAAAAATAAACACCATTACACATCAATCCTCATACAGCAAAACAACCTCAAAATACATGTAAATACAGCTTTTCTGAAGTTCAAATATTGTACTTAACAGCTTGAATTTAAAGCAAGCTGTTGTATCCATACAACAATTCCTTAAACACTTTAAGACACGGCTATAATTAGATTTTCCAGAGCCACCTGGTTATGTAGAAACAACAACTTGTGAGCAGTCTGGCCCAGATTCACTGCCACAGTTGTAAAGAACTAAATGAAGGATAACATTACATATACTTTTCAACATGGTAGTATCACAGAAAACTGGCCACTTGGCAGCATCAGGTTGATCAAGAAGTAACATATAATATAAAGTAATATATAATGCTGATATATCCTACCATTGACCAGGTACTCTGACCCTTCCTTGACAAAGGAAGCAAAACTCTCCAGTAAGAAGAGGGAGGGTCTTTGTCATTATAACAAGTCAAAAAACAATTACAGAAGGATGTGAGAAGTACTATAACTGGTAAAAACAGAGGAAGACTCATGTGGTTAGAACCAAATATGATGAGGAAGGACAGACAGCCCCCCAGTTTTCAATGGCAGACACTGTTTGGTACTCTGCTGGAATATAAATTTTAAAAATAATTTCAGCTTCCTAAAAGCAAAGGTGAACCAAAATCAATCTTCAAAAGGAACAGAAAATAAAAAGGTAGCAGCATACAGGGGAGAGAAAGTGATTCCCAGACACCCAAACTACTATGCTAGAAATACACTACATTAAATAAAGAGAAAAATAGGAATATAGCTATCAGATGTGGTTATTAGCCACAAACATGGATCACTTTTAAACAATTGGGAACATTATTAGATTGCTCAAAAAGTTCAGTGCAAAATCAACACTGGGTTAGTCCTTAAAGTAATACTAGGTAGTCCAGAGATATGCAAAACTTGGTGCCTTTACATACAAAAAAAGCAAAGTATACCTAAACAGTTTATGAACAGTTTCACTAAGTCATGAAATAAATTAAGCTGTAAACTTGAAATTAAAAAAGTTCATACAAGAATTAGTCTGAAGGATGAAGGATAATTAGGGATGCAATGGATTCTCCATCACTAAAGGTTTTTGCATTGGAACACAGTCAAATAATTTAATTCAGGTTAAACAACCTGTTCTAATTAGATTATCAGACTGGATTAATCTAGACTTGATGTATGAATGTAAGAAAAACAGCCAGAGAGATTTCTAGCAAGAGGTAGGTGTCAAAAGAACCAGTAGAATTTTCCCATTAGCTTGTTTGGAAGATATTTGCCATTATATTTCTACTTACATAACACATTAACTTTACAGAATCAGGTATTATTCTAACAACAACTAAAGAGTCCTGAAAACTATATAGTTTGTCCTACAAACTACAGTTTGTTCCAAAAAATTTCTTGAAAACAGTAATTATAATATACTGCTTCTCTCACTGGAGTCACAAAACAACTTAGTGTATCACCTGTGGATTATTAATGTGCCTGGAGAGAGTAAGAAAGTTTTACTTCAAGTAAGTGGAATATGGAATACTTAACATGATATTGTATATGAACAGCTGCCCAGCTTATACTCACACTGATGCTCCGAGTGTTACTGCTCCCCAGGCAATGAATTGTTTGTTGGAGAGAATGGGTGGGATGTCTGAGAAGCCAGTAGGTCTTTTTTCCTCAGATTTCACCTCACCTTTTAACATCACTTCATACTGAGGCCCAGATGGCAGCACAAGGACTTTCAGAGAACTTTAAAGATAAATAAATACATGTAAATCCCACCACAGAACAAGATTAGCTCATGAAAACAAAACATAACTGAAAAAAGACTCTAGATAGGCCTTTTTAAATTACCTTCTTGAGGGGAAAGTACAAACATTTTTTTCTTTTATGACAAAGGCCAGCTTTAGACATAGCAAAACTTAAATCCTTTGTCTTGTAAATATATAGTACATTTATCTCAAGCAATCTTCTGAAGTATTTCATCTGGAAATGGTTCAGATAAATATTTCAGAGACTACAGTAGTTAAGTTCTTTTTTGCTCATGCTAACTCCTGATTACTTTGACAAACTAATATTGGAGAGAAACAAAGTCTCATTCTCTCTACGTAGATCAAACAGATGCCTTTTCAAATACCTGTGAAACTTGAATCAAGTTTTACAAGTGTGCAATACACAGGAGCATAAAAATTAAACTCTGAGTCTTGTTAACAACAGTAGTGTTCTAAGCCAGAAATCCAAGATTTTTTCATCACTTTGATTCCTGGGACAGCTGCGAGAAATCACACTGAGCCCACAGACAGGAAACTGGGCCACCTACAGTTGGCTTTTCATGATACAGACACAAGCATAATGCAGATGACTACCACCTTCTTCAGGCAGATCAGATAAACAAATGGATGAGAGCATAAGGAGTACAGATTCAAATTATGAAGTAGAAAAAAAATGGGCTGATACTTTATAGGAAAGCTGGACCTAACTAGCAAAAAAAACAGAAGAAACTAGAGATACACACCAAAAAAACAGAAGAGGAACCAAGAAATGAAAGTGCTGCCTCCTTAAGGGAGACAAAAGCCAACGAAGAAAAAAAAAAGGCTAAAAAATATAGGGAAGGAAGAAGAGAGTGGAAGTATCTAACCAATGATACAGGGAACAAGAGAAAAATAATGAGAAAAACAAAACAGAAAAAAAACTAGAGAAAAAATAAAAAAACATAGGGCAGGAAGGAAATCAAGCCTTTAAAGAATAAGGCAAAGCATTTGCTATAGCACAGACCCCCTTAAAGCCAGGAATTATTCAATCTCCATGGTTAAGTGTCACTGAATTCCAACAATGCCTACTGACAGAGCCCTGCATCCCATCGGTGAGGAATATGAACTCTCGTTACTGCTTTCATTAGTTTATTAGTCTTTTGGCAGCACCAGCAAGTGGACTGCAAAGTCTCCACAACTACTGAATACACTGAGCCTGTAAAGCAAAGCAGTTATGCATGAAACCATAGGAAAGCCAAGACTAATAATTTTGCATGCCTATCCATTGGCACTTCTCATTGTTTAATGTAATGCACTGGGTAGGCCCAGTTAAGCTAGATAGTAAAGTCAAACATATTTTGGACAGATTCTTTTGTCCCTTCTTGCTCTGTTATAGCAGAAACTGGAAAACATGTAACAAAAGAAGAAAAGCTGCTGTGAAGAAATTAGTCTGACCCCTGCCATTGCAAAAAAAAAGTTACATGATACCAGAACAGTCACAAGTCTATTTCAGAGAATGAAGTCCAACAGCTGCTAATGTGTAAAAAGATAAACACTTGTATCTGCAAACAGAACATGTTACATTAGGGTAGTACTGGAGTTACAGGCTTGGGGAAGAGAGGCTAGAAAGTCATCTGGCAGAAAGGACCTGGAGGTGGTGGTCAATAGCCAGCTGAATATGAGCTAGCAGTGTGCCCAGGTGGCCAAGAAGACAAACGGCATCCTGGCTTGTATCAGAAATAGTGTGGCCAGCAGGAGTAGGGAAGTCATTATCTTCCTGTACTCGGCACTGGTGAGGCCACACTTTGAATACTGTGTTCAGTTTTTGGTCCCTTCCTACAAAAAAGACATGTCCAAAGCATGTCCAAAAAAGGGCAATGTAGCTGGTGGAAGGTGTGGAGAACAAGTCTTACAAGGAGTGTCTGAGGGAACTGGGGTTGTTTAGCCTGGAGAAGAGGAGGCTGCAAAGAGACGTCATCACTCTTCTCAGCTACCTGAAAGGAGGTGGGTGTTTGGTCTCTCTCCCAAGTAAGAAGCAATAAGACAAGAGGAAATGGCCTCAAGTTGTGCCAGGGAAGGTTTAGATGGGAAGTTAGAAAAAATTTCTTCATTGAAAGGGTTGCCAGGCACTGGAACAGGCTGCCCAGAGAAGTGGTTGAGTCACCATCCCTGGAGGTATTTAAAAGACGTGTAGATGTGGTGCTTTGGGACATGGTTCAGTGCTGGACTTGGCAGTGCTAAGGTTAGCGGTTGGACTTGAAGATCTTAAAAGTCTTTTCCAACAAAAACAGCTCTATGATTCTATACAGCCAATTAATACATTTGATCCCAATCTATCCTTGAGTTTTTAGAAATAACATATAGAAATAACACTTCCCTTGTCTCAGCTGAGTGCAGAAGAGGAAAGTAGCTGAAGGGGCTGCTGTAGGTAAATATTTTAAAGATTTGCTGTACTTCAGAAACAAGTACCATATAAAGGGCTTCAGAAACTTCATTTATTTACACTAAGCAAGTCTCAGGACATCTGTTGATCTGTCACAGGAAACATTACCTACTCATTAAGCTATGTACAGCAAAAGAGGCAAGAAATCTATGGAACGGGTGATCCCTGGCAAAGATCTATTTTGCAGTGAGCGAGGATTCACAACAATAGAAGTCCAAGTTTCCCTCGCAGGTAAAACTTTAAATTTGTTCATGACCTTAAGGTCAAAAGTAGCTATTTAAGACAGGCAGCATAAAATTAGTTATGTTACCTTTCTGTATTTGTTTTGGTTTTTGGACAAAATAGGACAGTGACTTCTTGTTCTTGTCCAGGAAGAAGGAAAAGATCCTCAGATTCAACAGCAAAGCAGCTGTCCTCATTTGATGCCTGAAGGTGGGCAAGGGGAAAAAGGAGAGTTGGTTACTTATTTTAAGGGAGTAAACACTCCTTCTGGATATTAAACCATTGAACACTACTCTCTGGATGCAACTCTGGATGCAACTATCCAACCAACTCCTCATGCACCAAAGAGTCCACACATCAGATCATCTCTCCTAATCTTCTCTTACAGTGGGAACAACTTTGTTCCAGTGTAGTCAGCATATCTCACGGCAACAGGCTGAGAGCCCTCACTAGCACCCCATCCTTCTAACCGTGGCATGTCATCTTACTGCTTGTCATAAGCAAGCTTAGTATTATGCCCCTCCCCCTTCAAGTCTCATGGCAGGGAAGTTGGAACCAGATGATCTTTAAGTTCCCTTACAACCTTAACCACTCTATGATTCTATGATAAGCCCCACTAGCTTGTGAGCAAAGATCCTCTTCCTCCTTTGAGAAAGGTGAATTATATTATCCCAAAGGTGTCATGCAGGCCATCCCATTATTGAAAACCGCAAAGCTGTAATGGTAACACCAGTAACAGGGCCCTGCAGTAATAGACTAGGTCTGTCTGTTTCTTCCAATGTCACAGCCCACAGCTGGAAGGAGATAGGAAAAAAGTAATCCGTACTTCATATTCCCTTATGTAAGCTTGTAAATCTCTTTGTCAAACCATACAGTTCAGCTAGGATTCCAAGGCTTGGCTCTAGTTTCAATACAACATTAACTGCACAAAACCTGTGATGTGAGGAAGATGTTTAGCCTGGAGAAGAGGAGGCTGCAAAGAGACGTCATCACTCTTCTCAGCTACCTGAAAGGAGGTGGGTGTTTGGTCTCTCTCCCAAGTAAGAAGCAATAAGACAAGAGGAAATGGCCTCAAGTTGTGCCAGGGAAGGTTTAGATGGGAAGTTAGAAAAAATTTCTTCATTGAAAGGGTTGCCAGGCACTGGAACAGGCTGCCCAGATAAGTGGTTGAGTCACCATCCCTGGAGGTATTTAAAAGACGTGTAGATGTGGTGCTTTGGGACATGGTTCAGTGCTGGACTTGGCAGTGCTAAGGTTAGCGGTTGGACTTGAAGATCTTAAAAGTCTTTTCCAACAAAAACAGCTCTATGATTCTATACAGCCAATTAATACATTTGATCCCAATCTATCCTTGAGTTTTTAGAAATAACATATAGAAATAACACTTCCCTTGTCTCAGCTGAGTGCAGAAGAGGAAAGTAGCTGAAGGGGCTGCTGTAGGTAAATATTTTAAAGATTTGCTGTACTTCAGAAACAAGTACCATATAAAGGGCTTCAGAAACTTCATTTATTTACACTAAGCAAGTCTCAGGACATCTGTTGATCTGTCACAGGAAACATTACCTACTCATTAAGCTATGTACAGCAAAAGAGGCAAGAAATCTATGGAACGGGTGATCCCTGGCAAAGATCTATTTTGCAGTGAGCGAGGATTCACAACAATAGAAGTCCAAGTTTCCCTCGCAGGTAAAACTTTAAATTTGTTCATGACCTTAAGGTCAAAAGTAGCTATTTAAGACAGGCAGCATAAAATTAGTTATGTTACCTTTCTGTATTTGTTTTGGTTTTTGGACAAAATAGGACAGTGACTTCTTGTTCTTGTCCAGGAAGAAGGAAAAGATCCTCAGATTCAACAGCAAAGCAGCTGTCCTCATTTGATGCCTGAAGGTGGGCAAGGGGAAAAAGGAGAGTTGGTTACTTATTTTAAGGGAGTAAACACTCCTTCTGGATATTAAACCATTGAACACTACTCTCTGGATGCAACTCTGGATGCAACTATCCAACCAACTCCTCATGCACCAAAGAGTCCACACATCAGATCATCTCTCCTAATCTTCTCTTACAGTGGGAACAACTTTGTTCCAGTGTAGTCAGCATATCTCACGGCAACAGGCTGAGAGCCCTCACTAGCACCCCATCCTTCTAACCGTGGCATGTCATCTTACTGCTTGTCATAAGCAAGCTTAGTATTATGCCCCTCCCCCTTCAAGTCTCATGGCAGGGAAGTTGGAACCAGATGATCTTTAAGTTCCCTTACAACCTTAACCACTCTATGATTCTATGATAAGTCCCACTAGCTTGTGAGCAAAGATCCTCTTCCTCCTTTGAGAAAGGTGAATTATATTATCCCAAAGGTGTCATGCAGGCCATCCCATTATTGAAAACCGCAAAGCTGTAATGGTAACACCAGTAACAGGGCCCTGCAGTAATAGACTAGGTCTGTCTGTTTCTTCCAATGTCACAGCCCACAGCTGGAAGGAGATAGGAAAAAAGTAATCCGTACTTCATATTCCCTTATGTAAGCTTGTAAATCTCTTTGTCAAACCATACAGTTCAGCTAGGATTCCAAGGCTTGGCTCTAGTTTCAATACAACATTAACTGCACAAAACCTGTGATGTGAGGAAGAAGCCAACTTACCTTAACTTTCAAATTCACACCAATGTTTCCAGCATTTTTCAATGGCAGCTGTTGTTTGGCTGTTGAACCCACACTAGTAGAGAAATATATTGTCTAGAAAATGTAAAGAAGTGTGTATGTATATATGCATACGTAATAAAACCTAACATTACAAAGTAAGTAGGCTAGGAGAGGCAAACTTACTAAAACGCAATTTAAAAATACATGCAAACCTGTAAGGTCTTTGGAGCATGTATCCTTGCTGTTCCAGCTCTTGCTCGGAGAGGAATACTTTTAATTACACTGCTAGGTCCTGGACTATCCAATTCCACATCAACTCTTGCCAAGAATTCATCTGCTGGACCCAGGGAATCTAGGAACAATTCCATGAGTAACAAAAGCAAGCAAAGTCTGCTAGCAAAGGCCATTCCTATAAATGTGTGTCTCACTTCAGCTACTGTCCAATCTTAACATATAAACGTGATGGTGATATTAACATAAACTCTCCTCATTACCCTCGCAACACTGTCAAAACCAGCACATTGTCCCTAGAGCAAACAAAAAATCATCTTAACATACTAGACAAACTAGTTGATATGTATACTGTTTCCTATTCAGGAAGCCAAAAAACCTCAAAGGTTTCTTCACATTTTTATCAATTTTGCAACCAGTGCAATGTTTTCTTAAACAAAGATTTAATTCTCTCAGCAAAAGGAGTAAAGCAAACTCCATACAACTGGCAGTAGAGAATGGCTTTGTACAGCTTGATACTGAAGTATAAATATACCTGCTAACATCTAAAAGATAAAGACACAGAAATACAGAAGAGTATTCCCCCTCCTTCAGTTACTAAAACTGATTGCAATACCCAAAATATTAGGCCACAAATCAAAAACAAAATTTCTTTTCAAATTTTCAGCCTGTTCCTGCAATTCTAACATATGCATACATTGAAAGTCAAATTTTAGTTGAAATGAAAATCAAATCACTATACCTGAAGAAGAAATTTGTTTCTTAGGTGCATGGAATACAACCCAAACTGTTAAAGCTTCAGGATCCTGAAAAACAAAAATTGGTTGACTCATCTTATGGAGAGGAATAGAATTACTCAACAACAAAAAAACACTAAAAACAAAACCAACACAGCTAGCAAGAAAACTCTACTGCTCAAATAACTTCCCCAAAATTGCTACTGCCAAGTTAGGTACTTAGAACTGTCATTTCAGATGGCAAGTAACATGAAGAATCAGTCAACTACTAAGTACTCACTTGTCCATCATGGCTTGCATGTATCACATGGTTTACAACTGATGGAGTTGGTATCTGAGAAACTGCATCCATTTGAAGTGATTGCTCTTTACAAGAATTAACCGGTTCCTTGGAAAAAGTAAAGCAACTCCAAGCTACTGCATTCTGTCAAAGAAATACAGTATTATATCTCTTTTTGTCACTAACGATAATGCTGACAAAGCTGAGGAATACAAAGCAAATTCTGAACAATCTATGTAGTTTGGAAAAAACAACCAAAGATTAGCCTGTAGTTTCAGCTATTGTGTGTTAGTCCAGCAAACCCTTTAAAAATAGTCAGAAACCCTTCTACAGCTAAAGGAGACAAGCTGGAACTGGTTAGGTTTAAGCTTTCAAAAAATCTGGCTGTTCAAGACCAACTTCACCAGTCACCAAGATGACCTGATCCAATCTTAAGGCCAGTCCCTTCTTGTCCTCCCCACATAAGGAAATAAGACCAGATCCTCTGACAGTACAAAAGACCAGCCAGCCTAGCTGGCTATCCAGTTGGCTTCTCCTATCCCAGAACCATTTTTGTTGGCACCATTACAGCTAAATCAGATTACCACCCTGCCAAAGAAAAAAATAAACACACACAAAAAAACCCCCCACAACAATTCTTTCCAGACTAATCAAAGACTTAATGGGAATCTTATATCTAGTGTTCAGGGCATGTTTCTTAATGACATATAACAAATATTTTGGTATTAAAATTCTGTATCACAAGAAGTTAACTTTCACATACAGGAAGTTTACTGTACTTACAGCGTTAATAATAAGTCTAATTGGCACAAACGCATGGGTTTTGTTGATAAGTTTTAGTGGAAGTGCCTTCCAACTGCCAGAAGTCAAGTCACCAAAATCCAGGTAATCTCTTTTTCCTGTGTCCACCTGGTTTTAAGGGAAAGCAGATCTTACAAGGAAGGAAAGCCCCTAAAGCACACTATCATAGGAAAGCACCAGGAAAGTAAGGATGTTATTGACATATTCCATCCTCTTAAGGCTATACTTGCATACTGTACATGCCACCTACGAGAGGTAGGAGTCATCTCAAAAACGTTCTCTTCGAAATCATAAGGGGTTACATCAAAATGGTTATCTCCCACATATTTTGCCTCAACTGAGCCAATCTTAGAGCAATATTTATCCACCAAAAACCAGCACAGAACCAAATTACTCTGGCTATTTAAAAATAAACTACAAGTATTGCTAGCAAGCAGGAAATGTCAGTTTTGGATAGAAAATGTCATTTTAAAAAATTAAGAGTTAAGAAAAATAACTAAGTAGTGGTTAATTTTTTGTTAGACTAAAAACATACAATCTGCAGTAATGCATAACTTTTGTTTGGTGCTTATACTTTTTCATATTCTCAGGAATATAACAAGACATGCAGAGATATAGCATAGGGTTTAATCTTAACATGAAGCTAGTTTGAATTAACTATACCATAAATCAAAGAATCACTTGGGTTGGAAAAGACCTTTAAGATAAGACTCCAACCATTAACCCTACTCTACCAAGTCCAGCACTAAGTCATATTCCCAAGCACCACATCCAGACAACTTTTAAACATATTCAGGGATGGTGACTCAACTCAGTAAGAAAATGTAGAATGATGGATTTTACCAAACTATGTATTAAAACATGCATTAAAAGCTAATATATAATTTATCAAAGTAACATTAAAAAATTTATCCATTCATGTGTATTCAACTAGCATATGATTAACTTAAAACACATACTTAGCCCAAAGCAGGTTAACAGACCACTTGAAAATCGAAAAAAAAATTGCTGGCTGTGGTTAGCGACTAAAAATTTTCCTGTAACTGTGATATCACAGACTATCATGTTATTTGTTTAATCATCTCCAAAAAAGTACCACCGAGCCTGCTGAAGAAGAGTCCATCCATTTCTACTTGCAACAAAGCCCGTTTCTGACTGTCCATACTCCTAAATTTAGGACTACATAAAGCCAGATTTAATTCTTAATGTCACACTATCTCCCATCTGGAAGTTCTTTATGATAAGACATAAGATGAAGCATTTTAAACATCCATTTACTTTTCATTTTTAAAGTCCAAAATAAGAAAATATTCTCTAGAATCATAAATAAGCTAAAAGGAAGAAGAAACCAAGACAAAGTCTACTCAATGTAAAAAATTAATAAATCCTTACAATTAGAAATGCTTTTTGTTACATTTTAATGCCTAATGGTATCTAATATAGCAGATACTTAGAAAGCATTACATGTTCAAGGTCTCATCCATCCTTTCAATAAAAGCAGTATCTTTCCATTTATTCTTTTCATATAGTTGCATAATAATTGTTCATTTCCAGCTAGGTGCTTTTCCATAACTAAAATGTCCTAGACTGTTTATAAGAAGCTTATATAACGTTTTCCTATATTCTGTATTCCATTCTCCCACATTCCAAACATAAAAATTCCCAAGTTCCTTTGAGGAACAACCTGGCATTTCTTGCATATTCTTTTCCAGTGTCATTCATAAAACTCAAAAAAAAAAAAAAAACACCAAAAAAACCAAACCCCACCAACAGAAAAAGCAGCTACTTACTTCTAAATTAGGATTTTCAGCAACTGCTGTCAGAACTACCCTGCTTGCCAAAGCTTCAGCCTGAACAACTGTCTCAGCATCTGCAGAAACTGGCCACGATGAAACATTGAGAATACACTGAAAGACTCCCGAATGACAAGGTAAGAAAAGTATTTTCACATCACTGGTAGAATAGGGTCCTACGATGGTTTTGCTCTTGAAAACCAGACATTGATATTTCACAGGATCCATCTGAAAAACAAAACCTCTGCCATTTTCAACAGGCCTCTTGCCAGAGCACAGTTTTGTTCAAAATACCACATTGATCTGGCACCACTGCTCAACAGACGTTCTGTATATGTTTTAGCTCAATATTAATTGTTACATCTTCATATTCATGTCTCTTTCATCTCACTCAATTGTGGGCATTTTAATTTAGAGAGTTAGATATGTCAGCCTGAAAGTTGTAGGGGTTTCTTTCCAGCATCTAGTGAAAGATTAAAATTAGGATTATATAGTATTGATTATATTTGAAAGTTAATTCATAAGTAAAACCCTGATTATTTAGAAACACCAGCAGCAAAACCTACAAAGCAAATTCTACTTTGTGCTTTCTGCCATCTAAGCTGGAAGGAAAAGATATAGTGGAAGAGTAAAGGAAAAGTCAGCTGATGGAGGACACCAGCAAATCCTAGTGCAGATGACAAGTTTGTGTTGTGAACATACTCATCTTCAGGCAGCAGTGACAGACTGCAAAATGTGCCATTAATCTCTCTATGCCTACTTGTTGGAATAAGTCAAGTGGCCTGGCTGAAAGAGGGTAGTACTACTTCTGTGCTAATTAACTATAAAATGTGGGAAAAAAGTACATATCTGTACCGAGGACTTTAACTTTACATATGACAACCAATAAGATTACAGCACAGCTCTATTAAAAACATATCTTACCTTTTTCCCATTAACTGAAACACTGAGTATTCCAATGCTGACCTGCAACCACCGTCCAGTTGGATTAAATATGTTAAGAACTGTCTGTGATGCAATTCCCACACAACAGGCATTAGGGAACTTCAATTCTTCTGGTACTTTTACATGTCCTTTGGAAGAAAATATGCTCCTGTTAGTTCCAAGTACCCCAAAAGAAATCAGCATGACAAGTTTCTAAACTCATTTGATGAATGCTTCATCATGGCAAGAAAATGTTTGATTCTTGAAGGTTTTCATAAGAACATTTTCCACAAGTCTGATACTCAGAATTTCAATCACTTGTTTCCAATTTACATCTTATTTGGACTTCTACTGTCATGAACAAAAACATTTATGGGAATAGCACATCCCATACAGATACTAACCAAAGTGTATCTATACATCTTATAGAAAAGAGTAAATGTTCACATTTTAATCAGTACTAGCCCAACTCAGAAAATGTGCATATTAGTATTAAAACATCTTTAGAAAAAACATTTACACCAACCAAAAGGAAAATCTTTTTTTATCACAGTATTACTGTTACCTAAAAAAAGACATTCAGACTTTTTTTGCTACAGAAAAAACAGAGCAGATTTTTATAGATTTTTTTGCTGTGGAAGTGCAGTCATCAAAAGTTATCATCAAATTAAAGAGAAAACCTGCTTCAAGTATTTTATATCCAGGAAGTCTCTACTTCTAAAATTTTGAAAATAACTCTTCCAGAGGAATTGCAACATTAAAATGACAACTCAAAACTGAAATGGAGGTAAGATATCTCTGGCATGTTGGGAATCAATCTTCATTACATCCAGAAACCTGCTAATGGGCTAGCAAAAAGAACCCATTAAAATTAAACATTCATTTGCATTGCTTAGGCTTAGAGCTAACTCAAGACACAGAAATTGCAGAAAGTATAGAAGGCAGTGGACAGCTTGTCTTTCCCCTTCCTAACCAGAGAACAGTTTAAGTTCTCCACTCTCCTTAGATTTTTTTGCTTCACTGACTGCTGATACCACATTAGGTTAGAGACAGAAATATCATCTGTTTTACAGATAAAATACAACTGTCCATAAAATTACTTGTCTTGCCTAGAATGAACTGCAGCTAAGATTTCTAGCTTCTTACTATGAAAGACAGCTCTAGATCCTTTAAAACAATAAAACCCATAAAACCATTGAACGCTGAAATTCTTCAAGATTATGAAAAATTTATCTTAAGACCATTGGGGACTGTAAGGATATACACTGAATCCAAAGAATGTAATTAAATAAGGAAAATTAGTAATACTTTTTAAAAAATAGCACAGCTTGCATAAGGAATCACTGTGGTTACATTTAGCATTCTAATTTTATTTACTGTTATATTAGCATCATCATCACCATTCTAGTCCCCAGCTGTATTTTAAACACACTCACCAGGTGACTTTGACAACTCCCACTCATTTCTACCAGCTCCAAGTGATTGTCCAGTATATGATTTTATATTTAAGATATTCTTGTTCCAGGAAGCAGAATGTGGATTACAAAGTGGAGCTGTCCCCAGAGACCCAGGACAAATATTTGGACCAAAAGGAATTCCGACCATAAATGGATTCTCAACATGTCCTGCTGGGATACCAGAACAAGGAAGCCCTGCTGGAAGACCAAAACCTGCAGAGCTGCAGCCTTGAAACTGAGACAAAACTGGATTTCCAGTAGATGGTGTATTTCCCAGATGCTGTTGTGCATATGGAGTCGTTGCAAGAGAATGCCCTGTAAGCAATTTGGGAACAGAAAAAATGGCTTGATTCTCAGAAGTAGTAACATGGGGTTTAAAGCTTGGAATAGGAACATACTGTTGATCAGATGAGTTTTGATTGAACCATCCAGAATACGTGGGTAATACATTTAAAGACTGCAATCCTTGTCTTTCTACTTTGTTTGTTTGATTCTGCCACATTTCTTGTGCATCAGCATTAGTAGAAAGCGGCTCAAGGACACAGCATTTACCTGGTAAAGCCGATTTAACACGGTCTAGCTCTTTATCATTTGCTGCTACATTTGAAGGAATAGATGCTAGCTGTTTTTCATTCTTCAGAACATCTGCTTTGGGCAGTTCTTGACTCAGTACATCATTAAGTTTTCTTTTAAGACCTTCAAGTTCGTATTCTTTTGACTTCTGGTCAATATGAAAGAGAGCTTCTTTTCTATTTCTTTTACACGAGTGGTCTTCTAGATTTTCATTTCTATGTTCCTGAGGAGTCGGGCTGGCTCGAATTATTGTTGTGCTCAGTTCACTAGCAGTTTCACTCTAGTAAACAAATATAATACACAGTATTACAAATTTTAGAAAAGAAAATAGGGTACATAAGACAGACTTAATACTGGTATTGCCATCTGATATAAATAACCAAGTTTGTCAAGTCTTGTCTGAAGATGTCTGTAACATCTGTGGCTCCTCACCTTGAAAAAGGAAACTTGCAATTTCAATTTGCTCGCTGTCTAAAGTCACATTCTAACTAACTGATGCTGGGATGGAGTTAATTTTCTTCACAGTATGGTGCTGTACTTTTAGATTTGTGACCCAAACAATGTTGATAACACACCAGTGTTTTGGCTATCGCTGCACAGTGCTCACACAGTATCAAGGCCATCTCCATTTCTCACTCTGCCACTCCAGAGAGTAGGCTGGGGATGGGTGAGAGGCAGGGAGGGGAAGCTGTCAGGACAGCTAACCTAAACCAACTAAATCCATGTAAGAACACACTGCAGAATCAAACCGTGGGATCGTTTTTCTGTTGTAGCTGTTGGTTGGATATTGGCTGGGCATTGGTTTGCTGGTAACGAGGGATTGCTTCTGCTTCACCTATTCCTCACCTTCACTTACTAAACTACCTTTATCTCAACCCACAAGTACCCCAAACCCACACTTGCCCTTCCAATTCTCTCCTCCATTCTACTGTGGGGGTGTAATCAAGCAATTGTGGAGGGTTCAGCCTCCAACTGGGGTGAACACACCACACTAGGCATTAACCTGATATGATTAGGTATCAAAGCTGTACTTAGAGTTCTTCATAAAAGCTAAAGATCTAGAAGCAATAAGTTGCAGCAACATCACAGCAGATAGATTTTTTTTGAGGACAAAAAAACCCCAACACATCACTAAAGACACACTTGCCAGCTTTGTAAGAAAAAAAGTAAAAGCCAAGTGATCCTGAACAAAATCACTAACTAAAAGCTGTTTGTTGAGACACATGAAAATGCACTGATAGCAACAGTTTCATTGTGCACTCATCACACAAAGAAATCAGTCAAGCCCCAAGGCCTTCTGTTTTGGCAGGTATGCATGCTGTAGGTGGGAGGAACGCACCTCAGCCTTAGAGTCTTGGGTTTTGTCTCCAAGCACAAAATTCCCAAGAAAAAAATAAAAAGAAATCAGATATATGCATACGCACAAATGTATCTCAGAGCAACTACTATTTGGGTGTCAGAAGCTGAGAAAATCATAGCTTCAGTCCTGAAAAAAGTTAAAGCTATCATACATATTTATAAACATTTCTCCAGGAAATAAGGAAACGTATTTTCAGTAGAAGCTAAGCAGAAAGGGAGCCTCAGGCGTGATGAAAGCAGATAAAGATCCTGCAAACTACTACTGGAATGCTGCACTGCATTCCAAGAACAGAACGACTTATTAAGCAATCAAAGAAAAAAATGAAGGGGAAAAATACACCAACTCTAACTTTTTTCAGAAGTTTGCAGTTCTTTGAATGTTTATATTCATTAGTTTTTGAATGTTTATATTCATTAGTTTGCACATGCCACACAATCTATTTCAGAATTTAAGCTTTTGAAACTCAGGAGTGGGGGGAATGCAGAATACATTTCCCTTTGTACATCATCTCCTAAACTGTTCTGAAACCCTTACAGCTTTTTAAATTTACGTTGACTACTTAAGGGTTTGTTTTGGGAATGAGGAGAAGGTTTTTATTTTGTTTGTTTTAAAGAAAGGGAATTAATATATATTTACAGGTCAAGATTTTCTTACCAAGTGTGTATCTGGATCACACATTACAGTTGAGTTCTTAAGGGTACTGTCAGATGCAGAGACATATGTTAATCTGCTCATGCTAACACTGGAGCAAACTGACTGAGGTAGTTCACCCTCTTGGCAAGAAGGTTCCTGATAATACGACGTGCAAGCTTCAGACCTGAAAAACAGATTCAAAGTATGTCGGTTTTGGAATACGTTTCCAATGCTGACACCAAGAAATCAATGCTATAAATTAGCTATACTATTCCAAAAAACAACATACATAGCCATTCCATTTAACACTGCCTGTAGAAATGAGAAATCAGCTTTCAACTAACCTTTACAAGTTCTGGCTTGGATGTACATAGGATTAATTTTCTTTAGGTATAAATTCTAAAGTCAAGGCACCAGAGTTCCACAACTGAACTCAAATGCTAAGGTCAAAGAAACAACAGAACTTACCAAAAGAAAATGGTGAAACAATATATACTTGTATCTAATTAAAAAAGAATGTCAAATGAAATAATTTAACATCCCAGGCATCACACATCGATATTTCCTATTCCTTGCTGAGTTTCTCTTCTTTTCACATACCTGAAAACCCAGAACCTCCCACCACTTTGCCAAACAAGAAGCAGTAGCATGAAAACAATGTGACTGACAATTTTAACTGGAAATCCTGAAGTCTGTATAACACACTTGCAAAAATACACATACTACTGAGCATTTTAACTTCTAAGAAACACCAGACAGACTGTAACTCTAACATCACACACAATAACTAGTTAAATATCAAACTGTGAACTTAAAGGTTAAGGGAAAAAAATCTTTTTAAGGAATGTACATAGCTATTGGCTACTGGCCATCTATATATGTTGAAGATCACACAATTAATTTTAGCTATAATCTTACGGTTTATATAATACTTATTGTTATGGGAGCTCATTTTTTAAAAGTCCTTTCAGTTAAAAAAGATCTAAATCTTAGATACCAGTTACCATTTCAAAATATAAAGTGGTCAAAAGCAATACAAATATTTCCAACAATCCTCTCTCACAATGCACAAGTATATGAATCAGAAAACCAAACAGAGTTAAATACTTCACGTTAAAAAACACATCTTCATCGCTTTTTACAATGCCAAGCTTTGTCATATAATTAACACCCAACCAAATTGCTTTATTTGTAATAGATTAATCATGCTACAACAACAGTTATAAAATATGAGATTTTATAGATCCATCAACAGAGTTTTAGGTATGAGGTATCTGACTGGCTAACAGGCTGAATGGTTTGTATTCTGGCATTACAGGACAATACTGAGCAGAAACAGCAATATTCCCATTGAGCCTCTGCTTTATCATGCCAGTGAGGAAAATTACAAGTTAACAATTGCTTAAGACTGTTTCCCCATACACATAAAACAGAAAACTTAGTCTAAGGGTGAACTCTTAGCCTAATACAGATCTTCTATAAACTGAGGTCAAGGACAACATTCAAACTAAAACTTGATCCCTAAAAAAAAAAAAATAAATCATGAAGCATTAATGAATCTTAAAACCTGCACCAAGAAATTTACCCTGAAAATACTGTTCCAGAAGTCTCACTAGGAGAAGAGTGAATTAGTGGTGAAGTAGAAGGTCTGAAGCTACACTGCTCTTCCTCCGGAGGTGGCAAGTCACATTCCGGTAGAACGGCTTTATGCTCTGGTAAATAAACAGAGTAACACTATTCATTTAAACACAGGGAACAAGCCTACTTTCAAGAAAAGCCTTTTCACCAACTGGTTACATTTATATAGGCTTACTTACCAGTACTTCTCTGCGAAGGTGGGGAGAGCCCCTCAAAAGTTACATGTTTCACATTCCTACCACAAGAACTACTGGCATCTTTGTTTCTCTCTGTTTTTGCAGTTTGCTTCTTTTCAGCGTTGTTCAATTTCTGCATAGGCTTTACTTTTATAGGAGTCACTGTGACATATTTACTAGATTGCTTGGGTAATTTTAAGTTGCTGAGTAACACATTATTTCCCATATTTCTCTCCTCCAAATCATTACACAGTTCAGCACTTGTTTCTTGATACATCGTTTCCACGTCTTCCCCAATAATAGTGAGCTCATTGGTCTCGTAGTCAAGCGAACTTCCCTGTGCTGCTAAAGGAATTCCACACATCAACACTTTGTTTCCAGTAGGTGAGGTCCTGGTATGGAGCATATCTGATCTTAGATCAGCATTCATTGACTGTAAATGTTTACTGTTTACTAAATCTGTCAACTTTTCTGAATATTTAGCACTATTTGCTGTTGTGTCTTCGCAGTTCAGAACATCAGAAACACTAGAAAAATTCTGATTATTTTCTTCATTAAAATTATCCAGAAAACTTTTCTTTATTTCTTGCTGCTTGCTGTCAGCAAGAGTATCCTTAATTTCATCTTTATCCAGTAGAAAGCTCTCAAGCACAAGGTTCTGGACAGATGCTTCATGTTTCACAATACTCTCATATTCACTTTCATGTCCAGTCTCATCTGTTTTTTTTATATACTTTTCCATATCAAACGCACAGTTTTCCACATTGCTGTGCGATACTGGATCAGCAGAAAGTTCCATCTCTTTAACAATTTCAGGACGGAAACATGTTCTTTTAGTTTTATTAGAGAGTCCTATGATCATAGCAGCTAGCTGTGAAGGATCAGCACTGGAGGAAGCATCAGCAATGGCAGAGGCAATCGTGCTAATACTCAGGACAGAGTCAAAATGATTAGATGAGCCATCTTCAGATTTGTCATTATGAATTCCATCCTACAACAAATCAAAATGAGTTAAGCATCCAGATAAGAAATTTTTGTTCAGTGAGTTTGTTTCTGGTTTGTATTTTTTTTTAATTATTTTGCATTTCGGTATATGGGAATATATTAACATTTCTAGTTGTCACACTTTGAATTGACTGTCAAGAAGGAACACTGCAATTGGCATAATTCTCTGTGTCTCTTTTTAAGTCTACACAGTTTGGGTTTTTTTAAAAGATTAAATGATTAAATAAAGACTGTCTTCTACAAAGCCCTAGTTGCTATAAAACTTTTGAAATCCTAAAATAGAAACACAGATTATCCCAAGTTGGAATGGGCCCATAAGGATCATCAAGTCCAGCTCCCTCCTCCCCACAGGACTATCTAAAGCTGTTTAATTCAGCTAGAAAAACTGGCAGTAAAGTACCACCAGGAATAAACACAGCAGAGAAGAAACTACCATGACCAAATACACAGTAATTTCCTAATTAACTTGAAATCATCTGCCTCAGTACAAAGGGAAGACAAAGCTATTATACAGTTTTCTCTGTCACTCAAGTCTGATTTCTTCAGTTTTCACATTGGCTGTTCTTGGCAAAGGACATAGAATAAGTAGACAGTCACTTCCAGACCACAATCAGTTCTCACTTCTCAGATACATTAAGGAAGAAAACATCTGTCCTCCTGTACATCTGCATCCATGTCTTCAAAACATCCTCATAAAAAGACCAATTAAGTAAAAAACACGTAAGAAGGACCATGACTGGAGCGAAAACTGGCTGCTCAGAGAGTTGTGGTCAGCAGCATGAAGTCCAGCATGAAGGCAGCCACTCACTAGCAGGGCACCCCAGGAATCAATACAGGCCAGTGCTGTTCAACACCTTCATCAAGAATGTGGATGAGACAGAGTGGCCCCTCAGCAAGTTTACCCATAAGACAAAATTGGGAGGTGCAGTTGACACAGCAGAATAGCTGGCTGATATTCAGAGCCTCAACAGGCTCAACAATTTGTGCCCTTGTGACAAAGGCAGCCAACAGCACCCTAGTCTGCAGTAAGAAAAGAGTTCCCAGCAGGCTTAGGGAAATGATCTTTCCACTCTACTCAGCACTGGTATGACCATATCTGGAGTGCTGTGTCCAGCTAGGGACTCCCCAGTACAAGAGAGACACAGACATACTGGAGAGAGTCTAGTGAAAGGCCACAAAGATGAGTAAGAACTTGGAGCACCTGTCATAGAAGGAGAGAGCTGGAATTGCTTAGCTTCAAGCAAAGGCTCAGGAGGAAATCTTATCAAAGTGTATAAATACCTAATAGGGAGAGGAGGTGGGCAAGAAGGAGTAAAGGAAGTGAACACAGACTCCTCTCCAAGGTACCAAGAAAGAAGAAAGGAAGCAATAGGGACAATTTTAAATACAGAAAAAACCATTTAAACTTAAGGAAAAGATTTTAATGTCAACATGACTGAACAGCAGAACAGGTTGCCCAAAAAGGAACCAAAGAGAAAATAGAGCCTCCATTCTTGGAAGTATTCAAAACATGATGGACTTTGATCAACCTGATCTATCTGACCTGGCTTTGAGCAACAAGGGATGAACCAGATGATCTGCAAGAGTGCCTTCTGACCTCAAGCATTCTGTGATTTGTCTGTCTGAGAACATTCTAGCATCTATATCAGACTGAGATTGACCTTAACTTCTGCAAATTGAGGGTACAGAAGATTAGAATCTGGATGTACATTATGAAAACCTCAAATTAGTCATCTAGTGTAAATAAAGGAAAAAATAAAGAACGATAATCAGAAAGAAAAGCAGTTATGACAGTACAGAGCCCTGAGCAATCCAATTAGTCCTTTTGCATCTAAGTCTGCAGCTTTCATCATTTGATCAGCTAAACCAAGTCAAACTTGCTAGCTACTGATTCATAGAGGTTAGGCAGGAGAACAGCTGCTTCTGGAACTGAATGAGTCTGCATATGCTTTGCCTGACCAGAAAGAGAACATGACATGTTAAGATAGAAAAGGCAGGTGTCTAGAATTACCAAAATGAAAATAATCACAGATATTTTTTAATTGTATCAAGTAAAAGACTTCATACACATTCTAAAGACAAGCTGTTTCATTAAAAAAACAGAAGGGTAAGACATAGCTGAAATTCAGAAACTTGATCGCAGAACGTCAACAGCCTAGGAATCTGAAAAACTACAGGTTGTCAAGCCAGGCAACTCCTAAGGTGAAGTAGGAAGAAAAAGGAAAATGAGATGGTGATACTATCACATGACTCACTATGGGATCATAGCATTCTCATGAAACTATCTTAACAAACAGTGGCACCTGCTAGGATTCAAACGATCAATACAAAATGCAGTGAGCTGGTATGAAAGTCCAAATTTAGCCATATTTGTGAAACAACAGTAACTGGAGTTACTTGAATTTTGTTCTAGCTCATAGTTGCACTTAACAGAAAAATGCAAGAGGAATACCTTTGCTTTACTTTTGATAGTAGCTTCTGTATTAGTGCTTTTAGGTATCTGAGCTGCAACCTCCATCATCTGCCATGCATCTTCACAGCTGGTAGAATTTACATGTTGTTTTGTTTGTGCTTTTAAGTCATCTAAGAACAAAGAAAAAGGCAGGAAAGTAATTTACAGTAAGTAAATCGTTTAAACACCTGCATTCTTGGATACACATGCTTCCTCAATGCTCTAGAGAAAAAAGAGCTGTTATAATGACACAAATCCAAATACTGCAAGCATCAATTGTTTCCTATACAGTACTTGATGCTTACATTCAAGTCACAAAATTAGCTGGTATTATGAAAACTATGCTCACACTCCTCAAATTTTACTTTCAGGTAGCTTACCATACTCACACAAGCTAAACAAACCTTTTCAAAAAAAGCATTTGCAAAGTAACATGAACATACACCAAACTCCAGTAGAAAACTAAAGAGTGAAATCTGAGTAAAGCAAATTTTCTCATTCTGGAGACAGTCTGACTGAGGTAGATAGAACTGAACTGGTGATTTTGAAGGATAATGTTTAGGAGGGACTGGCATGTTTCTGAAACCAAAACCAAATTAAGATAATCTTCTTGATTAGGAGATAAACCCAAACTAGGACATATTTTTTATATGAGATCCAGAGGCTACCATTTCAACAAATTAGTTCCTGCCTGAGGGACAACATCTGGACTCCACACAACACTAAATGCAACTTTCAAAGATATTCTGACTGGTGAGAAAACAAGTACGAAACAACAAACATTTTTGGTTTATTCTTCTTGGGAGGGTACTGAGTTTTGGTTTTGTTGGGGTTTTTTGTGTTAACTTTTTTTTCCCTTTACTTCTGTTCTTATAATAAATTTTTGGGGTTTAGATATACTTCATATTTCAAGTAACACCCTCCTCAGGTTGCTGAGCTCTCAGCTTCCTCTCTTCTTAAACAGGAATTGAGTACTGGTATTGCTGATAAAGATTATTGCCAGTACTACTGAAAATCAGACAGCAGTAACTATTAATATGGTCACAATGTGACCCAAATACCTGTTTTCTCTAGCACTTAAAGCAACCCTTATATCAAAAGAACTGAAGAGCACATTAGGGTATTTTTCTATTCAAAGCAACAATTATAACTGTAATTAATTGAACAGAGCTCATGAACTCAGTGAACTCCTGGCATTTTTGACAAAGAAAAAGAACAGACTATGGTATAATGAATTTAAAGACACTAACAATAGGTTTAAAAGAAACAAAAAAAAAATAAATCACAAAACACCACATAAAACAAAAAATCATTAGAGACCCCTTAAAAATATTTGCAAGGTCCCAGCACATGGAAAATTACAGCCGTAATTGCCAGGCATATATGCACAAAAATGCATGCTGTGATCTTTACATATAAAATTTCAGAGGAATGTAATGAATTATTACTTTAAGTTAAGCAGGTATCATGGGAGTTTAACTTTAAAAAAAAAAAAAAGGAAGGAAAAACATACACTGATACTGTTTTATGCACACACTGCCAGCTCAGTTTTACCTGAATTGTCTTCATACTTTCCCTGTATCTTCTATATGTGTATGAACAAACAGACCAATTTTCTGGTTTTATTGTTTTTTTAATTTGTTTGGTTTGGGGCTTTTTTGGGAATATATTTACACAGCTTTTTCAACAGAAAAACACTAAACAAATCTTAATTATTGTAAGACATTCTGACAGTTATCCAATACCTGGAAATGCTGAAATACCCACGACAATTTAGGCTAGTACTTAGTATTAGAATATTCTCTCTTGTAAGTGTTTAGGTTCTGTGTTTTTCTGAAGGAAGAAGGGGTGGGGATAGTGCTCACAGCAAACAAAAATACTTGGCAAAAGAAAATAAGGGATGTGCTATCAGAGATCACTCATAATAGTATTTAACAGCTATATACAAATAATTCTTAACTATTGTTACAACCACTGTCTAGAGCTGAACCATTTGTTCTATAATTACCTTGAAATACCTCAGACAATTGCGAAGTCTCTTGGCCACTGTCACCTCCTGATGAATCAGATTGCCTCAGCAAAGCAACCGGTTGCCTTTTCTTTGGAGATGTAATATAGTAACCAAAAGATGGCTATAAAGAAAATTTACCCAGGAATACAGCATTAGTAAATTTCATCACTAATAAATAGGTTCAGTGAGCATGCAAACCAGTTTCAGCCACAGTGCATTCTCAGTTGGTGTTCACTCTCATAACACTGAGAAATAACATATACCTCCTAGCATTGCCAATGTCTAATCCAAATACACACGCTTTAAAAGATAAATTAAAAAACCGTAACAACTTATTCTCACCAGTTAGACAAAAGAAAATACATATGATCTCATAATCTCTGCTTAAAGGCATGCTATACTGATCTGGATGTACCAGGACAGAACATGCTTACTCTACCAATTCACCCTGTTGCACATAATTCCTGTTTTTATCTGCACAACAGATGAGATACTGTCTACCAACAGCAATAAGAGACAGGTATCAGATAGATGCAAGAAGCATAGTGAAGTACATTGGTAAATTAGAGTCTAAACGACAAATTTCTACTGCTTTGGGCATTTGCCATTCATATCACTGTTTAGATACCCCTGTCTGAGCAGCATTTCATTCAACTATGCAGATCATTTGCTTGGACCTCCAACATGCCACCTGTATGTGGTGTACTTTTCTCTCTCCAATTCTACGTATAATTAGGTCCTGACCAAAAAGTGAAGATCAAGATTCATCAATAACACCAGTCAGCCTTTCACAACAGAAATTCCAAGTGGGAAGCAAGCCAATCAAGATCTGTAACACTGACAGGATTTCTTCTGCAAGTGATCTTAGAAAAGTAGTTCTTGAAAATAATTACCATGTGAAAAACAGAAGTAGTGCTAGCTGCTGTTGTTCTTGTCCTTTCCTTGGGTCTGAATATTAAGATACATACCCGTTTCACATCACTGCCTCCACCAAGACAACCAAGAGCCTCAGATCTCTGACCAAAGAACTCCCCCAAAGACAAACGTAAATAACTGGCATCTTTATCAAAATCAGATTTTTGCTGCAGAATGCAGCTGTTGGCAGATTTCCAGGAAGTATCTGCGAATTCGGATGCATTTAGACTGTCTGCTCTTGATGCCTGTAGACAAAGATTTCAGAAGTTGTAACTTGCAAAAAAATTAGATAACTATTCTGTTTACATTGAGATAACTAGTTACCTGCACAAGTCTGTGTGCTTTCTCAAATTCTTCCTGGTCTTGTGCAATCATAGCTGCTGCTTCAGCTTAAAACCAAAAAAGAACATTAATTCAAATAATGCATAAGCTAGACAGTGCTGTAATTACTATTTTCCATCACTAAACCAATTTTTGAGGTAGATATAGCAATATCTAATTTGACATCTGAGACACTTTGAGACACACTTGGAGTTATTCCATCCCATCCTGATGAGAAAAGTTCACGTACTTCCTGTATCTTCAGGAGGCAAATTAACATCAGCATTTAGCTAGCTAAGTTAGAGGTGAATAAAGGAAGTTTTAGTCTTAACCCTAAACGAAACTGCAACTTTTTATAGATACTGCAACCTATACCAGCTAAAATTGACTATCATATGGCTACTGCCAAATTTTTACAATTGGTTTTGAAAATTTCATCAGGGTGTTACCTGTGAAACAGAGCAAAATAAAAAGATTGGTTTGTATAAATGAATGAATATTTGTGCAAATTACCTTGCCAAATACATCAATACTTCTTTTAAATTCAAATGTTTGTACTGTTTTCCCAAGTACCATTTCAAAACAGCAAACGCTTAAAGTCTCTTCACCAAAATTATGTGAAAACCTGCTGACCAAGAGATATTGCTCTACCACTTTATTTCAATATTGATTTATCATTAAGCAGATAAAAGCTTCAAAAATATGTGGCCTTGTATCACACAGCGTGCACAGCCATAGACGACACAAACTTGGAAAATTAATACGGCTGTTGTCCATAAAACGACCTATGGGAAATCACAATAGATACTCTGAGGAAAGGAACAAAGTTGGAACATGTCTTTATTGACCATTCCAACTGTGTTCCTGAAGGCAGCCTAACACTATCAGTGACACAAGTCAATATCAGTTCTTAATCCTTTGCATAAGCCACACAGCTCAGAGAACTCCCCAAAGCATCACACTCTGAAGTGAGCAATCTTACACTATTCTACACAGGAATACACTGCCTGCAGTTTGCTGGCAGAAACAAACATGTCATGAATGACACTTTGAAGCATGTAACATTTCCTTTCTGTCCCTACAAATAAAATCTCACAGCTGTCAAGTTATCACACTTGAGCATTGCAGATAGACAGGCAAACTAGCAGCCAGAAATTGCCAACCACATTGATTCTGTGAACTGTAGGTCTTCTACTGTATGAACAGTAGAACAGTCAATCAGCTGGAAAGCAGAATTCCTTTAAAAACCCATCAGGTGGAAAAAAAATCTCAACAGCCTTGGAAAAAATTACAATGGCCAAACATTCTAATGATTCAACATACCAAGTATGAGATGCAGGAACATGTCTGAAATACCCTAGCATTTGGAAAATGGAGTTCTGCTTTACTGACGGAGTAGATAAGGAAGTTTCTAACAAATTAGACCATGTCTGCTTGTTCCAGCAGAAAACCACCACAGTGTTGTAAAACACTATGTCAACCAAACAAACCTGTTTGATCACACATTCAAAGTAAAAAATTACAGACAAAAAACATATGCAGCATCCTATCTGAAAGAAGGAAGATGCCTTGAGTGGACTCTGGACATCTTCAGATTATCCCACCTATATGTCAACATTAGAAACCAGAAGACACTAGGAGAAACGCTATTGCACACATTGCTTGAGCCTGTCTAGTAAAACAGATTACCAGGTTAACATTTTGGTGCTAAGGTATTGATTTATCTGCAGTATGAGGAGCATATTATCCAAGTCTGCACGACAAGTCTGCAAACTCCCATGAAGATGAGTCTAAGATAGCTTTAGGAAAAAAAAACAACAGCTACTTAAATAAACAGAGCTTCTAAAAGCCTAGAGTTTGTTAGAAGAGTCCAGTAAAGGCCCTCAATATCGTCCATTTTTCAGTACCAGTACCATTTTTCAGCATCAAGACATTCCCAAGGTGTTCACCAAAAGATCAGCTACTTAATTCAGACCTTTTTGTATTCTAGCTGATTTTACAGTCATTTCTTGTTTACAGTTATTTTCCATCTTATAATAATCCTGTAATATGGAATAACTACTGTTTCTTCTTCTTGAAAGAAAGGATAACAAATACTAAAGTCCAAAGGAAAAATTGCAAAATTACAGCTACAGGAGTTATTTTTCCTCATTCAATAGTTATCAGTAACACATATTAAAATGCTTTTTGGGACAAAACTGACTTTCCATGGAAATCGTAGGAAGCATGGAAAGAAGCTACCAACTCCAACTAATGATAGTATCATTATAGTCTATCATCAACATCAGCTTTCAAATAATTTGCAGTACCTAAATCCTGGAGACTTTGCCACACCAAATATCTATTTGCTAAAGTGAAAAAAGGAAGAATTTTTACTTAGCACTACTACAGAAAACTACAGTGAAAAGAAAAATATTACATACATCCAGTTATGAACTCATTTATTTTATCATCTTCAGACAGTTTTAAATCTTGTTCTTCATCAAATGAAGTATAATATGCAAGATCAGTTACCCACTTGCCCTCTTCATTTTGATAGACAATGCTGTGTGGTACATCACCTGAAATATAAGATGAATGTTACACTGTGGATTAAAACAAAAAAGGAATACAGCAAAGTCTCTGAAGTTTAAATTAAGGAGTTCACCTGCCAGAATTCAGCAACAAGTTAAAAAAAAAAACTTAGCTCAAGTTGCTGCAACTGCAAGCTTAAACTAATTTCATAATAAAATAAATACTTAAGTGCAATATATAACAGTATTTTTTTTAAAGAAAAACAAGTAAAATCTATGCTACACTGGGTTTTATTACCAACTTGCACAACTAACGAAAAATGCATAGCTTGTAATTTTATTTCTTTTTCCATGCAACAGGGCGTGGTCACAATTACATAGATGACTTATAACTGAAGCAACCTACCTTTGTCTGTTGTAGCTAAACTTATGTTCTCACAGTTGTCTGGAGTTGGAGACAAGTAAGTTTCAGCAAGGCTGACTCCATATTCAGTTGTATTTGTCTGAGAAACATTTGCACTAAAGAGAACTTTAGGAGACGTTTGGTGCCCTAAAAATCCAGTTGCTGTGTGTAGTCCTTCAGAATCAACAGCCTGACGCTCAGAGGACTGAGTTTCTTGCTTTGGAAGGGCATCTGAGACACCAGCTTTACGGCTCTCCATGCACTGAAGATACTGTGAATCTAACTGCAACTCAGCAGCAGAGTAGGGATCTCCAGTAGTCACAGAATTCTTAGAAAACAATAACAATTTTAACAGTGTCAAATGTACAGTTGTGAACTGTTTGAGATAGTCGTTCTAAATACAAAATAGTCCAAGTTAACAAAGTTTAAAAATGCATCTGAAAACAAAGTAGTGTTATTAATGTTCTGTAAAGAAAATTTGGGTTCTTCATTCAACCCCTAATGAGTTTTGAAATTCACCATTTTCTACTACGGACTTACTGTATATGATACACAAAAGCGTATCACATACAGTGACAATTAAGTGACGATTTCTTACCAGTTGCTGTACTGCCCTGGGCAGTGTTCCTCTTTGTACAGGACATCTAGTTGTCTCTTGATTTGGTGAATCTTCATCACTAGCATTTCCAGAGTCTACTCCTGCCACAGCCTGGTAAGTGTCAGGAACCTGAAATCTCTCCTTTAAAAAAAAAAAAAGTAAGTTACACTAGAACAAATATATACTAAAGGCCAAAAAAAAAAAAAAAAAAATTAACACTACCACTGTTTTTACAATGTAAAAAATATTCACTATTAAAATATTACCATATATTTTCCTCTCATGTGACATTGTCATGTGATAGTTCCTGGCTATGCCAATCCATACAACTGCCTCCGAGGGCATACACAGCAACATGACAGAGGATATCTTCTGATTCTTACTATATCTTTTCATTCCATGTAGCAAGGGCACCAGACTACTCCTCTTCCACTTTTGGTTGATCCACTGCTGGATCAGGCCCTTCAAGTCTGACTCAGAACCTGTTGAACCCACCCCATTGCCTATCTACAATGGCAGAAAAGCAGGAACATATTACACAAATAGAGAAGACCTGAAGTCAGGGAGCAGAACTGTGTTATTCTCACTCTTCAAACAACCACTTTCTCCTTTCTTCAGATAGAGCTGTAGATCAGCAACTGGCAGCCTACTCAGATTGCTTTTAAAGGGTTAACATATCACTTCCCACAGCTTGGAAATTCTGATGTCAGTTGGGAAATTCCAGGAATTTCAGAAGGTACAGTTCATTTAACTGCTTAAATCAATCACACCATCTCATTCTGGTCAAGCATGCAACTGCCAGGATTACATCCACTGTCACAAAGCCAACAAAATGGAAAGGCACTTAATCCCTGATACTCTGTTTGTAATGGAACTGTTGCTCAGATATAAACCACAAGTTGCTGCTCTACACTTACCTTTTGCACACTGACCACCTATTTAAGACACTTACTTACTCCCCTGGAAAAACAAGTCTCTGTGATACTAGACTCTCAATAAAATCTTAGAAATTGCTAGGCAAGATAATAAACTAATGATCAAAAAGATTTTATAAACTAGTTGTATGTTCTTAATAGTTACAGAAACAAAAAATTAAACAGTAGTGAAATAAATTTTTTCAACAAGAGAAAATCCCATTCTGTTCTTTGAATTTTGTTGCAGTTAAAATTGTAACTGTAGCTAAGAACAGCAACAAGTTAAACTACTGAGAGTAGGTTCATCACAGAACCATCAGAGTAACTATTAAGCAATTCCTACACAGAGAATAGGTCCATGTACTGGACATAACAAGCAAGTTAAAAGCAAGGTCAAAAGATAGTTTCAGTTCAGCTGACCAGCTTGCTGGGGCTGGAGGGAACAGCATTTTATGGGTATTAGCTTTCCTACGGAGATTTATCTTTCATCAAAGCATCTTTGCATTCAGAGGTTGCATTTTTAAATAATTTAAAAATCACACGACATCAGTAGAGGCTTCTGCTTTAGCTACTAATGATATAATTCCCCTTAGTGGACTTGAGAGGGTCCCAAATGCTTATCCACTAATACTAATGATATAATTCCCCTTAGTGGACTTGTTAGTGGATAAGCATTTGGGACCCTCTCATCTTAGCCTTTCTGACACTAAAAACCAGCACTAGGAAGCCAACAGGTGAAATGAGGTATATAAGAAACATTCATACCTTAACCCATTCAAGAGAAAACCTCAAAGCTACACAAAGTTCAGACCAGTATAAACAATCCAAAACTCTAAAACTTTATAACTTTAAACCTACTTGAAATAAGCCATCTTCAGAAAGTTTCAGTGCTGTACAGCGTTCTGAGAGTTTCTGTATGTTGGTGTCTCCTCTTGTCATTTCTGACTGCATCAGCTGCTCAAAATAGGCTTCTAACTGGTTATCAAGGAACTCTTCATCATCAATATCATCACCTATTGAAAAAGAAGAAAATACCCTAATGACCTTTCATGAACATTTTGTATCACCTAACATACTACTAAAGCAACTCCATAATTTTTAATACATTGAGTATCACACAACACACTGAGCAGAATTACCCTGGTTTCCCCTTAAAATAATGGGATTATGGAAACTTGTATTACTTGTCTAACTCCACAACTAGCAATACAGAGCAGAACAAGATGACTACTCTAGCACATGAACTCCCACGCTCAAGTGACTCATCTTCCTTCGCATGATCTAGATATACCACCACATTCCAACTAGAAAATCATATACATACTCATAAATGAAAAGTAAAATGTATGTAACATTTTTCAAACTTCACGGACAGAGACTGAAGCATTTTAATGGCAAAAAAATCTTAAGATTTATTACTCAGAACAGTACTATTCCTACTTGCCAAGTGAGAAGTTTCCCAGGAAAATTTGTCTTGTTTTGGGGATGCTTTTGTTTGTTTGTTTTAATTTGTGGGAATTGAGGGGAGAGCAGTTTCCAGGGCTTTTGTTTATTTGGGTTCTAAAGACCCAGACATCAGTCAGCTTTTTAGGGCATGGTTAAATGCCCTCTTAAAACCATTGTAAAAAAAATATTTCAATAAGAAATATTGAAATTCAATTTTTATTTTCTTTTCCACAAAAAAGCATCCTGTTTGTGTTTTTTCATTGTTAAAAAAACAGTATACTCAAGCAGGTTTTTAATTTCTAAACTCACAGCTATACTTTGCTTTCAACTTGAAAATAAATTAACTACTCTAGCACATGAACTCCCACGCTCAAGTGACTCATCTTCCTTCGCATGATCTAGATATACCACCACATTCCAACTAGAAAATCATATACATACTCATAAATGAAAAGTAAAATGTATGTAACATTTTTCAAACTTCACGGACAGAGACTGAAGCATTTTAATGGCAAAAAAATCTTAAGATTTATTACTCAGAACAGTACTATTCCTACTTGCCAAGTGAGAAGTTTCCCAGGAAAATTTGTCTTGTTTTGGGGATGCTTTTGTTTGTTTGTTTTAATTTGTGGGAATTGAGGGGAGAGCAGTTTCCAGGGCTTTTGTTTATTTGGGTTCTAAAGACCCAGACATCAGTCAGCTTTTTAGGGCATGGTTAAATGCCCTCTTAAAACCATTGTAAAAAAAATATTTCAATAAGAAATATTGAAATTCAATTTTTATTTTCTTTTCCACAAAAAAGCATCCTGTTTGTGTTTTTCATTGTTAAAAAAACAGTATACTCAAGCAGGTTTTTAATTTCTAAACTCACAGCTATACTTTGCTTTCAACTTGAATAAATAAATTATCATTTTCAGGTAGCTGATGGTGGTTTAAGAATTGTCCAGCATTGCCTTTCTAGTGTATTTCTATTTTTCTCCCCAAAATGGCAATTCTGAAGAATCTCCTCAGTATCTCCTTCGCCAAAGAAGTCTAGATAATGCCAAGCATGTATAGGAAAAAAGTACATGTATACACACACATAGATCTAAGTCATAATTACTTTTTCATTCCCAGTTTTGACAATGCCCTGCACAAGGAACCTGGTATACAGAATAAAACTCATGCAACAAAATTCAATTTAGTTGAATTGGAAGCTATGGATGCTCAGCAACTTTGGTATTACAGAAAAGTGATCAGGATCTGTTACATTTGAAAGTCATTCAGTGAAATAACATTATGGCTGTTTCCACGTATGATATGAAGAAAATGGAGGGATTAGAGCTGGCTGTTTCTTCAGTTTTTGAAAGAGGACTAATAACTATCCTGAGAACAAAAATCCATGGAGTGCTTTGGAGTGCTTTAAAATTATAAAAGGATTACTTAATAACCTGCATGGTAGACAAATACCTACAATTTAAACTCAAATCAACAATACCATGATAGTTGCTTTAATTTCATTTACCTATGTCTATTGAAATAATAATCCACTATCTTCCAAATAATAAGAAAGTAGATTAATGTATTTTACCTCAGACATCCCAGACTTCCTCCTTATTTTTAGAAATACTCACCTGCCAGGTTTACACTGAATACTGAACTACGTTATAAAAATTAGTACACCACTGACTAGGGAAAATGAAAAGTTAGCTTCACCAACACTGGAACCCTGAACAGACAAGCATTTCCACTTAAGGACAAGCAGCTCCTTAGGAGGGCAATGGAAATAATTCCAACCCCTTGCATGGAAAAAAAATTGTATTTTTCTCAACAAGCTATTAACTTCATTTTAATAAGTTCAATGCACAAATGAAATTATGCAACATGAAAGAACAAGGAGATTTCAAAAGAGAGTCATTACACCTGTAGATGTAATATGGAGAAGCCCAGTAACCCTACTTAAGTGCAGGGCTGCTTGATCCCAAGATGGCAGTAAACTTATTTCTCACACTGCCTTCCTCGTTCGTAGTGCATTTGAGGACATGCCCTATTGTTGTTCACACTATGTGCAAAGTCAACTGCACTAGTAAAGAAGTGCATGTTTGTCCTTCAACAGCACCTACTGGAAGGGCACCTTAACTTCAAAACTCTTGTTTAGTTAAATTTCAAGGGTCTTGTTTAGTTATACAGAGCTCAAGCTTTCACTTTTATCCTCATGGGTAAACTAGACTTCTGACTTGGGTGTCACTGTGCATTTGTGGCACCTAAAGAGAGCTGAACTGGAACTCAAGCTAATGCTAACTGCATGTATGTGTTGTTCATCATAAAAGTTTACCTCTGTTGATCTAAACTGGAACTATAGCTAGGGTTACCACTTTATTGAACTAATGCCCACATTTCTACCTGTATTTTGGATTCATAGTAACTAAGGACTGTTAAATTTTTTAGATTAACCTTTCAGTTGTGATCTTCTCTGACAAATTCCATAGCCATCTACTCCTAATACAATATGCAAACAGCCAGTTACCCAACAAATTGTTATATTTAGTATTCCTAAAACCATTTTTTGATGGAGTGTAATCTGTATTAAATACTTCAGTAAACCAATGCCTTTCTCCTCAAGTACACAATAATATTGAATCAGAATTGTAGACTCAATTACCCACAGTTATAAATACACTTACTAGTGGAATCTCCTTCTGAGCTTGCAAGAGATGACAGTTTCTCATTTTCCAAAAAACTTGAAAGGCTACTGCTAAGATGATCACTTAAGACTTCACCTTCAAGTTCAGATGGACCAACCTGTGAAAAGCAGCCATACAGAAACGTTTCTAGGAGTTACTAGCTATTGTATAAATTCAGTTAATAACAATTAATGAGATTAATAATCCAAAACTCCCCCTCAATTTTTCTTTTTCCTACTTATCCCAGAAAACATTCTAGTTCCAGTGGACTTGGCCTGCTAACTTCCAGAATGGATACATGCAAGACATACAGGGATCATACAGAGGAAAGAACTAAAAAGCACCTGAATGACACAAAACTTAGAAGACCTTGAAAATAGAACACTGAATCACTTGAAAATTAACTGCCCTCCATTCATTAAGCTGCAATCTCAAAGTCCAAAGACAAGTCCCAATAGTTTCCTATGGTGCTATAACAGTGCTTCTTCAGAAATCATACACTCACATAAATGTTTTGTTGAAAATTTCTTCAAGCAAGCATAATTAATTACTTAAAGTAATATTTTGGTTTAATCTACCTCACTGTAAATATAATATCTTTTATATATTGAATAATTTTTCTAACCAGCATGATGTAATGTCTGTTTTGTATTTAGTCTCACATTCTTTGTGATAAACAGACCAACCTTGACAGCCAGAAAAAAAAGACCAAGTTCAAAAAGCAAAAATTTTGAAAGGGACTTGAACTGGTTTTCAGATGAGTGACTGTTAGCAGTCATCTGCATTCAACTGCATCTCACTGACCACTGCAGCCCCCAGAAAAATCAAATTAAAGAAAACTAAATCAAGTTAATAAATACCAGCCAATATATTAAGGACATAAAATCTCCCATTTCTGTCTGCTTTGTGCCCATAATTGTCAGCTTTTCTATTACATAGGAGAAAAAAAGTGCTGGAGCATAGCCCTGTCTGTCAGTATCTGCAGCTGTGTGCTAGCTCTGGGACAGAGACACCAACAAAAAGTTAAAAATACAAAGGCAGCAGGAAGACTTTTTTTTTTAAACTGTGCATTTTTTTAATGTTGAGGACACTGAAGAAGCCATCTGGACTAGTATTCCTCAAAGCAATTAACAAGCACAGGGGCAAGTCAAATCAGGTGGATGTTGTCTACTTCAATTTCCAAAAGCATTCCAAAGAGTTTCTCAAAAGGCTTTTCAACAAGCTAATCACAATGGGATAAAATCTAAGGTTCTTACTTGGATAAAGAACTACAAGATAGCAGAGGCTAGGAGTAAACAACAATTTCCACAACTGAGAAAGATTAGGTGGAGTCTTGCTCCCATGATACTAATTATTTTAAGAGATCTGCAAAAAGGAGGCAAAATGAGGCACACATTCATTATGCTAACACTATTACAAACTTAAGGGATACACAACATAAGACAATAAACACAGTTCAATTCCCCCCTCCTCCTCTCACAAAATTAAGACTATTACAAGATTAATATTTTTTTTTAAAAATCATGTTACTGTATTTACAAAAGCTTTCACCTTGTTTTTCTTACTATCTGGAAGAAAACACATTCCAGTTGGCAAATCTGAAACAAAAGAATGTGGTGTAATCAGTATTTTGTTATGCTAAGTGCCTAATATTCTGTAAGCTAGCAGATCAAGCCTGTTGAAGGTCTTGGCATGCACCACAAAAAAACACCTTGAAACATACACATTATCACAATACCAAAGTTTATATGTCCTTACAGCAATGATCTAAAGCATCTGGGAGTAATTACAAAGGCAGGGTGTCATCAGGTTTGGAACTGTAAAATTTATGCAAGACAGCATCTGCCTTAAATTTCTATAAAATGGTGCAAAAAGGAAGGAACCCCAGGTTGATAGGGTCAAGGGAAGAAATCTATAGCATAAAAAGCTAATTACACTAAGAATAAGCACACAGATTTTCTCAGATTTTAATACCTTCCAATCTTTCAACTGGCAATACCTCAAGTAAGGTATCTTGAGGGTGATTTGAACGCTCAGTGCCATTCTGATCTTGTTTTCCATATATCAAGTGGGGTTCTTTTAAACTACCAGAAGATGGCTGTTCTTCTTCAATTAGTGTAGCAGCTTCCCTAGAAAGAGAACCATTTCAATGAAAAATATCACTCATCGAGATATATAAATCAACATTAGTATACAACATCCCTATACGTTAATATTTGATATATTCTCCAATTTTAAAGCACTTGCCTCTGGGAAGTCAGCTGTTCCCGTTAATACAGATTCTACAGACTTATTGCCTGTCATTCTACAATAAAGGCATAAATATCAAGATTACAAGGCCTGCTTCACAAACTGAAGAGTGAAACAAATAGTGAAATTTAATGTAACATATGCCACTCTACTTTCTCCTCTTTGTTCCTTTCTCTTTCCTTTCTGCAAAAATAGGGAAAAGTTTTAGGGGAACAGGGCCTATGCCAAGTGAGCTCCATGATCCATTTGAGGGCAAGTCAAACCCTAGACAAGATTTTCCTAGGTCCATAATATCAGTATGCCTTTTGTAACATTAAATTACAGGCTAATTCATAAAGAACATGTCTTACTGAAATTCTAAATAGTTCTGTTAAATAACAGCTTTTATTACTCTGCAGGAAAGTTATTTTTCATTTCCAGTTTTATAGGACTTCCACATAGGCAGGTAAGCCAATCATGTCAGAATTTCCTCACTGAGTGAACCAAACCATACTTTTCATTTAATATTTTTTATATATAAATAAGACTAACATTGGAAAGTCTAAAGTGCAGTTAGTCCATTTCTGTATTTTTTTTCACTTGCATGCAATACAAAAGCTGACTCCTCCTTTTAAATCTTACATCTTTTGTTTTTATAGGGACATACTGCCTGAAGTGCAATTTTAGCAGTGAGAAAGACTCACACTGTGGTTTCTATTGCAACCAAAGTAACAAATTTAACCTTTGTTAGAATAACCTATGCAACAGCTTCCAACATTTCCACCCCTTAGTAATGCTCTCTAAATTATGTCACTAATTCTTCCTCAAGAAGAAACAGCAGTCACTGAGGCTACAAGGAAGCTAAATCTGACAGAAATTGATGTTCCTTTCTGTATACAAGCAGTGTGAGACTTGGAACACAGGTAAACCAGTGCAAACTGCTATTCAAACACATGACATAAACGAGAAAAATGAGCTTAAGTCTGTATTTTGTAATGTAACCTAGGAAAATACAAGCAAGCGTCCAATAAGTCACTTAATTAATCATGCTTAATAAATGTTTAATTCGTGTGACAACAAAACAAAACCTCACAGTTTAAAAAGAAAATCTCAAGAATGCTTAGGATTCATTCCTGACATGAAGCCCAACTAGTCAAAAACCAGAATGCTGCTGATGTACAGTCTCAGTGGTAGCACTGCACAGGACACTCCAAAAAGCCTGCCACTATCCCTCTTCAGAAAATGTGGAGCAGTGTTGTAGTTGCAAAAGCTGCCTACGGTGCCAAATACTATAAGCTAACAGGCTAATGCACAGCTGAGCTCTCCAGTTACTGCCATAAAAAAAAAAAAAGCCAGTAGAAGCTGCTGCTGCTAAGGTGGGCAATTCAGTTCTGAAGTATTCCATAACTAGCCTACAGTACTGGTATATACATTTTAGGAGAGAATTCAATTGTAACTATCTCACTTACGTGTCATCATGAAAGCTGAGGGCAAGTCTTCCCACTGGCTCAGGATCTGCCTGGCTACTGTGAGAAGATCCTGATGGAGACAAATGTTTCCCTTCTAAATAGGATGCACAGACATCAGAAAGCCTGTAAAGGTGGGGAGGAAAAACACACAACAGAATCACTTTAATACACATCTCTCCTGTTTTCCAAAGAACTGGGGAAAAAAATCATGTTGGTGGCCACTCCTCTCCTGGAAGTCCAATTATTTGAATATTTTAGAATTTTCAAGCCAAACGGTATTTACAGGCACACATATGCACCCCCAAGGATTCTCTCCAGTCTTCTGCAGCTCTTCAGAGAAACACCACGTTATCATTTTTAGTGGCTAGTGCTGTCTCATTTGGAACATAGACTTCTGGAAAGACAGGGTAGAGAACACTGATCTTCCTTCTTGTTAAGCCTCATAACAGCTACTAAGTGAGTAAAAGCTTCTAAGGGCTACTGTCTGCTGTACTCCCTGCTGAGCAAATCCTTATAAATTGTGTTCAATTTAATTCATATCCATAACACTAGTTCTTACACTACACTTTCTAAACAGAGCCCGATAAAGGTAAATTAAATGAACAGTTAATAGTCTTAAAAGAACATGTGTAAAAAAGCTATTAGTCTCTATATGATTTCAAGCTTGTGTATATTAAGCTAAGAGGCAAGTTAAAATTGTTGCCTTATCAGTCTAAAAACTAAGCTCCTCTTTTAAAGGGCAATTTTGATAAAATTTAAGGATTTATGAGGTTGTAATGCAATGAAGATTTCTCGCTTACAGTCAATCCTGTTTGCTGACAACTATGATACTGATTAGTAAACACCTTTACCTTCCACCAAATAAACTGTCAAAAGAGTTTTTCCTCTCCAAAGCTAAATGTTTCAAACCAGTCAACTGTTATATTTTTTTTCCTATTTTTAAGTGTCATAAACTGATAGTCTCACCTGTTGTTACGGCCCATTTCACCCCTGGCAACAGTTGAAGCTGCAACGGGTAGGCCAGGGTTTGAGAAAACAGTAACATTTTCCAAAATGACGCTTGCACTGCTATTCAGTGAATGGCCCAAGAAACTTGGAAACGTCTCATCAGCAATATTTCTGAAGTCCTCCATCACCCTGCACAAGCTGCTGAAAGTAGCACTCTGCGCGGTAACACAATCAGTCCTGGTCCAGCAGCATCTGAAAGTAAGAACGACTATACAGTTACACAAATCACAGCAACGACGCCAAAAAACACCCCGCTTCACCCACAAACGCGCTTAAAAATTATCCCCAGCCCTGTCTCTCCCTGAGAGCTGTTCGGAGGC